ACATGAGTTTTAACAATGTTTACAGAATACACATTACAATATGGAAGAGATGGAATATTTAGATCAGGAAAACGGATCAGATGTACATAAGGAAAGCTCATAAATTATATACTCTGTTGTTTTATTTACACAAAAATATTTATCTTCTATATCTTTCTAAGTTATGATGGAAATCACTCAAAATAAAATTACCCAGAATGCACTAAAACAAGAGGTTCCAAAGAGCCTGAATCCCTCAGCCGACAAATATATGCCAGTTTGGTTGAAATTGAACTAGTGATTTTAGTGTCAAGACTTTTTTTATAGTTCACCTCAACAATGGCCACCAAGTGATGACAATAGCTCACATGGCCCATGATTATGTCTAGGTTAGTCTATGGAAAGGTATATACTATGAAATTTAGAGCGAGGGGCTTGCCCCAAGCTCTTAATTTCATAGTATATACCTTTCCATAGACTATCCAATTTAGCACATATTTACAACTCGAGTAATCTTTTAATTGGTCTATTGATAGTTTATTTTGGCTGACTACTTGTATCACAGGTGTTTGTAAAACGGAGCTCATTAACGAATTTTGTAAATCTACTCACCAGTATCATTGTAAAATATGTGATTTCAAAAGGCCCTTCACTCCAGAATGAAAAGATGGTAGCTGCTGGTGTAAGTATGTATACTGATATAAAGCGGTGTTTTACTATACATGTTCTTCTTAGGTAAGATGACAAAATGAATTGACCAAAAGCAGGTAATAATGAAATTGCAGTGGAAGCTTTACATGTTTTGAAAACATTTTTTAATTTCACAGTAAAACTAAAGCTATAATAAATTTGAAACATATAGATAGTTTGTCCCCAAAGATATAGTCTAGCAGATAGGCATTAAAAAGCAACTATAAATAGATCAGAGATTATAGGTTTTGTGTGTTTTTTTTTATTAGTTCAAAGTAAAAACTAAAAGATTTATCAGAATATGTTTATATATATATATATATATATTGGTGGCACATTATCTTCAGACATAATCACAGTTTTTCAATTCATGACATCGTCCTGAACATGCAGGAAATATTTGCCACTGGACATTAAGCAACCAATAATCAATAAATCAATCAATTCATGACGAAATAGATCACTTTCCTTAAGAAAGTTTAAAAAATTATTACCAAGTTGCTTTAATTTTCCTTCACAAGTTTTCATAGTACACACTTTTCTGTGTACAAAGTAATTGCATGGATGATACATTATCATAATTTTAAGATATCGTTGTACTCTAATCAAGGTATAAAGAACCATATGTATTACGTCTAGGTTAGTCTATGGAAAGGTATATACTATGAAATTTAGAGCGAGGGGCTTGCCCCAAGCTCTTAATTTCATAGTATATACCTTTCCATAGACTATCCAATTTAGCACATATTTACAACTCGAGTAATCTTTTAATTGGTCTATTGATAGTTTATTTTGGCTGACTACTTGTATCACAGGTGTTTGTAAAACGGAGCTCATTAACGAATTTTGTAAATCTACTCACCAGTATCATTGTAAAATATGTGATTTCAAAAGGCCCTTCACTCCAGAATGAAAAGATGGTAGCTGCTGGTGTAAGTATGTATACTGATATAAAGCGGTGTTTTACTATACATGTTCTTCTTAGGTAAGATGACAAAATGAATTGACCAAAAGCAGGTAATAATGAAATTGCAGTGGAAGCTTTACATGTTTTGAAAACATTTTTTAATTTCACAGTAAAACTAAAGCTATAATAAATTTGAAACATATAGATAGTTTGTCCCCAAAGATATAGTCTAGCAGATAGGCATTAAAAAGCAACTATAAATAGATCAGAGATTATAGGTTTTGTGTGTTTTTTTTTATTAGTTCAAAGTAAAAACTAAAAGATTTATCAGAATATGTTTATATATATATATATATATATTGGTGGCACATTATCTTCAGACATAATCACAGTTTTTCAATTCATGACATCGTCCTGAACATGCAGGAAATATTTGCCACTGGACATTAAGCAACCAATAATCAATAAATCAATCAATTCATGACGAAATAGATCACTTTCCTTAAGAAAGTTTAAAAAATTATTACCAAGTTGCTTTAATTTTCCTTCACAAGTTTTCATAGTACACACTTTTCTGTGTACAAAGTAATTGCATGGATGATACATTATCATAATTTTAAGATATCGTTGTACTCTAATCAAGGTATAAAGAACCATATGTATTACGTCTAGGTTAGTCTATGGAAAGGTATATACTATGAAATTTAGAGCGAGGGGCTTGCCCCAAGCTCTTAATTTCATAGTATATACCTTTCCATAGACTATCCAATTTAGCACATATTTACAACTCGAGTAATCTTTTAATTGGTCTATTGATAGTTTATTTTGGCTGACTACTTGTATCACAGGTGTTTGTAAAACGGAGCTCATTAACGAATTTTGTAAATCTACTCACCAGTATCATTGTAAAATATGTGATTTCAAAAGGCCCTTCACTCCAGAATGAAAAGATGGTAGCTGCTGGTGTAAGTATGTATACTGATATAAAGCGGTGTTTTACTATACATGTTCTTCTTAGGTAAGATGACAAAATGAATTGACCAAAAGCAGGTAATAATGAAATTGCAGTGGAAGCTTTACATGTTTTGAAAACATTTTTTAATTTCACAGTAAAACTAAAGCTATAATAAATTTGAAACATATAGATAGTTTGTCCCCAAAGATATAGTATAGCAGATAGGCATTAAAAAGCAACTATAAATAGATCAGAGATTATAGGTTTTGTGTGTTTTTTTTTATTAGTTCAAAGTAAAAACTAAAAGATTTATCAGAATATGTTTATATATATATATATATATATTGGTGGCACATTATCTTCAGACATAATCACAGTTTTTCAATTCATGACATCGTCCTGAACATGCAGGAAATATTTGCCACTGGACATTAAGCAACCAATAATCAATAAATCAATCAATTCATGACGAAATAGATCACTTTCCTTAAGAAAGTTTAAAAAATTATTACCAAGTTGCTTTAATTTTCCTTCACAAGTTTTCATAGTACACACTTTTCTGTGTACAAAGTAATTGCATGGATGATACATTATCATAATTTTAAGATATCGTTGTACTCTAATCAAGGTATAAAGAACCATATGTATTACCCTTTATTTTAATGATAAAATTTGCAATTGTCAAAAACATTTTTTAGATCCAAAGATTTTTATAGCAGGATATTTAAAAATCAATGTGAACACTAATTACAAACTATTTAATTTAATGTCTTTAATTTGGAACACAGCATTTTATTTCAAAATAGCCAGTGGCAATTTTTGTTTTAAATATCTTGATTACGATACAATGAAATCTTACCCTTGTGGTCATTCATGCGTAGTTACTTAGTACACAGGAAAAGTATGTACTATGAAAATTAGAAGGCAAATATAAGCAATTTGATTGGACGAGAAGTTGTAAGTATGTGCTAAATAGTAGAAGATACCAAGGAGGTAATTAACTTAAGTTGAATAAGACTAGACAGACTAATTCAGATGCTCAGAAAGGGTCAGCAGTTCCTGCTTAAACTTCAAGTTATCAAGCATTTTTTCATGCCTTTATCCATTCCAATCAATCAAATGTAAACTGTAGGTTATCCTGTTTTTATAAACAACCCATTATGTTGAATTGCTTAAGTCCATGTTAAACTGGACTGATAAATTGCCAATATTAACCTTTCAAAATCTTTCAAGAAATATTTATGTGAGGGTGCTAAAAAGACCATTTTCATTATATTTTAAAGGGTCAAACTTTTGACTGGCACTCTTTTTTAACTGGACTGAAATCAATGAAAATCAATCCAGTAATGTAGACACACAAGTGTATTAAATTTACATTTCCACACAGTTCATATTTCTTATGGCTGTAGCTCTTATCAAAATTTTCAATTCCATTTTAAGTTCATCAGAAATAGTGCTGATATAAACCTTTCAATAAAAAATGTCAAAATCTGCAGATAAATGTAGATATGGGATCATGTAAGACAATGTTCATCATAATTAATTGCTAATATTTATAACCTTTCAAATCCTGACAAATTTAGAGGTAAGGTAATTCCTACTCTGCAGCAGCAGGGGAAAAAAGGTACAAATACTGTTATTTATAATAACCCAAAAGAAGACATTATTGAAGTTCAAGTTGTTGAGTGGTTCTAGTCTCCATGAGAAGATTTTTAAAAACTGAACCAATGGGGCCCCTTAAAACCATATTAAACTTTTCTTTTTCTTCTAATTTTGCTTCAACTGTTCTTGAAAAGATAAGCAAAATGCAATTTCCCCAAGGGTCTCAATGTAAACTTTTACCTCTGCTGGCAGCTGTTTTGAATTTCTGGTTGAGATCAAAGAAAAAAAAACTTGTTAAGGACCTTCACAGGAACATATCTGGCAAATTTTGTGCAATTGGTTCTTACTAAGAATTTCTTTGAAAATCAGACCAATTGGACACCTTTCTGGCCACTTGAAGACATATTGGACTTTGTGAATTGTTTCTTTTCATTACACTTCCTATGTTCTTTAAAAGGAAATCAAAAGGAAAATCCCAGTGTCTCATTATCACTTTGTTCTTTCAAATTACCAAATGGCACCATAGTAAAAACACTTAAGGACCTACACAGGAACATATCTGTCAAGTTTGGTTTTAATTGGTTCACCTTTTCTTGAGAAAAAAGTTTTCCTAAGATCAGCCAATCAGAAATTAGAAAAGGCTTTGGCAGCCATATTTGTTGAAGAAAGAAGGACCCAGTGGGGAGCATACTTGCCAAGTTTGGTTACATTCTGTTCAGTGGTTCTCAAGGAGAAGATCAAAATGTGAAAAGTTAACAGACAGGCAGTAGACAGACAAGAGAAGGTAAAAAAAAGCTCAGATGACCTTTGGCCAGGTGAGCTAATAGGAATGCCAAATTTAACACATGTAAAATATTTAAACTATAATCATATAATTTTTTTGTAGTATCTTTATTTCATAGCTCAACACATTTGGTGCATAAATCAGCAAGTTTTCTATTAATTTTATAAAACTAATAGCATACAACAAATAACAACCATGTATAAAAGTCAACAAATTCTTTGAACATATTCTTTAAAATAACAAAAAAAAATTCAAGACTTAAATTGCCAAACAGAATGGTTCTTAAACAATAGATAATGAACATTTAAATATACAGAAATATATTTGAGAAATTTTTATCCCACTTATTTTGACTTAGGAACTCTGTAATTTTTCAATCAATTTAGTTCTGCATTATGCTGTTTTGTCAAATCAACATCACTTTTAACAACTAAAACTGTTGAAACTTGAAAAGCATACAATTTTAAAATCTTAGTCACCTCAACATATGTATATATAACTCATTACCCTGTTATTTTAGATACAACACTTAACAGGAAAAATGTTTTTTTTTCGCAAGCAACATAGGAAAACTTTCAAAATTTACACTAAATAATTTGTTTTATTGAAATGCCCACACTATTGCTATTAAAATCTCTTTACAAATATTTGACAAAAGCATTCTTGCCATTAATTACCAATTAAATTATTTCTTTATTTTTAAATCATACTAATAATGCCTCCAAACATTTCATCCAAACTCTGTTTTAGAAAAAAAAAGATTTTTAAATCAAAAAAAATGTGAGGAAGCAAACAAAAATGAATGGATATTTTTGTTTTTTAAAATTAATAAGTGTTGGAGAAAATATTGTTTCATTTTTTTATTTTTAAACCCACAGATTTTGAAAAAAAAATATTTTGTTTTGCTTTAAAATCATTGATTTCATTGGCAACTAACATATTGGTGTATGAAATTTTGGACCTAGTCATGGAAGAATGAAATTTAATACACTTGACCATGAAGACTAGATTACAAACCCTGAAATCAATAAATTGTGGCGGTTTAAGGGTAATTCAGCTTCAATGACATTTGATACTTGACAAAATACCCTTTTTTTTTCAATTCCTTATTACATAGAATTATTAACAAGTACACTATTAGGCACTTAATCATACTGGTAAATCATGACATAGTTTCATGCCAAATTAAACCAGTACAACAGTTGTATTACTAAAACATTTTTACAAGTATGAAATCAAAACAGCAGGATTAAATGCCACTTAATAGTCAGAAGAATCCATGTATGGTAAATCCAGATTCATTCATTCATACTTTATAATCAAGTTGAAAGTCCAAGTTTGTATTTTACTGTCTCATAAAATCGAAAGTGCATGGCAGATTCATGAGGAATTTTTTATTTTATGTCATTAAAATCAGTTTAATTTTAATCTGTTGTCTTCCTCAAATTGTAATTACTGTAAACCAACTTATTTTTGCGAGCGATTAATTTTCGCGAGATAATGCGAATATAAATCAAAGCGAACGTGTACAACTTGGATCTTTCCTTATTAAACTATTTATCAAGTAAATTAGAAAATCGCAAAGTGGATTAGAAAGGGAAAACGCGAAATAAAGTATCCGCGAAAATAAGTTGGTTTACAGTAAATGTTTTTACTAAAAAAAAAAGGGATGAAATTTAATGTAGACTCTCCTCTCTTTACAAAACAAGCTATTGCTTTTATCACTGCATCTGGAGAAAAGAAGAACATAAAACAATGCTTACAACTCACATTATCATTTTTCTTCTCTTTTTTTGCAATTTGTTTCAATTAGTAAAGCTGTTTTTCTTATCAAAGATTTACACAATAACCAGTATTTTTCATTAAGATAATAACAAAATATATATCCAGACAATATTTTACATTACTGTTAGTCTGTCATTTTTGAAAGATTGAAAAATCATTGAGATGTGATTCCCTCAACCACTGATTATATTTCAATTAATTCAAATACTGTGATTATGGATTGTTCAATTAAAGTAATTAATTCTAAATGAAATAATTGACTTTAATATCTTGAAACTAAAGAATGTAAAACAGTTAAAGCAATAAAAAAAAACTTGTTCACTCAGATTTACATGTAACCAAGTATTTGGGAGAATTGATATTAACAAGATTTACAGTTCATTTTAAATTTCTGATCAAGGGTGTACATTTTTTTAAACAAGAAAACAAAGGATATTTAACATAGTAGAAGAATAATATAGTTCTTCCAGTTTGGTATGATGACCTGTCGACCCTGATGAGTGACTCGTATGGCCTCTAGTGTGACAGCATAAAAGCTTACACTGCTTTAAAAATACCAATGTATGTGTTTCTCATGCCCTTCAAACATTTAATGGCAATGAATGACTTTACAATATAAAAGGGCAAAACTAAAAATCTTAGGATAGAGCATCTGAGTCAATTGATTTTTATTGCCAGCAAAGAATATTGTTTTTTAATGATGAAGACAGCAGTATTCAATATATTGCGAAAGACCTTTTCCCTCTCAGTATTGGGAAGATTTAGTACTTTGTGCATAACTTTCACACATGAACATTTTAATTCGTTTCCTATAACTACTATTCATTATGACATATGAAATATGTGTCAAATTACTTTAACATTTCTTTCTGGCAAGCAGGATCAAAGAATTAATCTTTTTTATACATTCAAAGTCAAAAAATGCAATTATGAGTTCATCAAACATTCTCCAAGACCCTGACACTTGTGTTTAAGGACACATATCAGTAGAACTATTCTATCAAAGAATACAGTTAACAATCATAAAAATCTAGTGAATTCTTTATTCTGCTATCACCATCCTCTTACACATAATATAAGATCTGTATAGTCTAATCCACACACAGAAACACTTGTGTGCATTGATCATAAACTCCTAAAGACTTTTTTGAAAGGGTCTGAAATCTTTACTTCACACACAAAAACCCTCGAACATTGATCATGAACTCATTAAAACTTTCCATGAATTTGATTCTACTTTCTCTGTTAACTGTCATATTCAAAGTGGGAGGAGTCAGTTTGTTAAAGGCCTCTAACATTCGTTGTTTGTATGCTGGCTCTGTCTGACCATCTAACAAATGATTCACATACTCTCTGTATTCATTCTAAAAAATAGAAGAAAAAAAATTACTCAAACAAACAAGTAGTCTGACCTACACATTCTTGGATGTTCCATAGTAATAGGACTGTTGATCAACATCAAATTAAGAGATGTACTGAGACCTTTTGCCTCCTAATTTTACCCCTGCTAATATTGGGGGAACTGGAAACATGTCACATAGATTGTACATAACAAAATGATTTTGATTTTGATTTTTGGTGTTTTAACGCCACTTTTGAGCACAGCTTTTGGGCTATTTCGTGGCGGCCAGTTTTTATTGGTGGAGGAAGCCAGAGTGCCCGGAGAAAACCACGACCTTCGATAGGAAAACTGACAATCCTAGTCAATTAAGATTGGAGTAGAGTTCACCCGCACGAGCGGGGTTCGAACTCACAACCTGAGTGTTGACTGGCTAGTGATTACAGTAGTAATTACTTAGACCACTCAGCCACTGAGGCCCCCCATAACAAAATGAAGCTTAGTGCATGTCATATATCAAGAGGTTAGTTGCTAAGAACAATGAAACAGAAATGTGTAAAGGATAGAGGAAAACCAGTTTACCCCCACCTTAGTAGTGGGGGAATAAAACAACAGTAGAAATATCTCAATAATAGTGCTACAAGACTCATTAACGTGAAAACCAACGCATATTCATCATGATAATTCAAATATATTGATCTCAATATAAGCTATCATACAGATTTTACAAAAAAAACACATCAGAAGAATTGATCTATTCTAATATAAATACATCTCTATTTCTCATAACCAATATACTAAGGTAAAGAGATTTTGTAAAGTTTAAATACCTATTTCATTATAACGCAGGAAAGATGTATACATTGAGAAGACTGTATGCTGACCTATGTTGTTTAAATCCTGGTCCTTTCAGTGGACAGTTGTCTCAGTGATAATCATGCCACATCTATTAATTTCTTATATTATAAACATATCTTTTCCATATTAAGATATTGTTTCATACTAACCTGATAACAACAAATTAAACAAAACAAACAAGAACTTGCAGAATCTAACAATTCCATGTTAAATGTTTCTATCAGCAACATGTTGAACACAAACTGAAAAATAATTAAAAAAAATAAAATACACACAAGAAAGTTGTAAGTATTTGATAAATATAACAGTGTGGTCAGGTTAGAAAGCAAATCATCTTTTAAGATGTATAGACCTTAATGAAGCATCAAAGACAGAAATTAGTATATAAGGAATATTTACATTTTTATAATTTTTTGATGTCTATTGGTTGTGTTGTCTCATTGATGTAAACCCCACATCTCCTTTCATTCATACCTATAAAACTACAATTCTTTTTAAAAAGTAAACTTTATCTCACTGGTTTACACAAAAATAATAATCATACTTTTTTATATATACTTAAATTCAGAAATTTTTGTGTGCATTAATTATTGCAATTGTTGAATAAAAGACAATGCTACTTAATCTATAGCGATTACAGGAAATGCTGTATACAATAATGCTGTCGAAATGTAAAATGCAAGTGTTCTTTTTTTGAAAGACCTATACTGTTATTTTCAAAAAAATAAAATCAAAGCAAAAAATTTCTGAATTTACAGTAAATCTTAACATGATATGAGTTACTGAATTATTTTGAAGTGTTCATGTTAAACAAATATCTTGTTCTTACCTTCATAAAAGGACAAATAGACTGGTGTATCTTTGATCCCTGCAGATTATTTTGGCAGATATGTATTGTTAAAGATGTGAGGATCTCCAGACATAATGATGTGGTATCACTACCATATCTGTGTAGGTTAAGGACTAATTCAAGTGAAATACAAGACAGTCTATCAAAACAAGATTTTGAGATTTGTAAGTTTAGACTGCCAGAACTTCCAGTTGTAAGATGCTACCAAAAGAAAGTCTGTCTGAGCAGTAAAAGTTATTGTAATTTTTTTCTATCTTGTTTAAAAAAATAAAGAACTAAAGGTAGCATTTGAGATAAAAGTTGTTACAGCCATTTGGGGTTGAGTTAACATAACTTTAAACAAATAAAATGGTAGTATTTTTTATACTTTGTCAAAATGTAATTTACAACACTTCATTTCAAAAATTATAATAAAATCTACATGTTATATTGAACCTGCATTCCAGCTTAAAGTACTTTTGTGAAACTCATTGTGGGAATATAAATGAAAGATTTAAAAATACAATATCAAAAGATAGATGTTAATAAAAACTCTCTGAAAATAAAAAAAATTAAAAATTCACATCTAAAGAAGGCTGCCACAAATAAAAAAAAAGAAACAGAAATAAAAGAAGAATGTGTCTAAGGACACGAATGCCCTTGCTCAAGCTTGCTTATAATATGTGAAAATACTTTTGGGTCGAACGAGAGGACGGACAAAAAGATTGACAAAAAGATTGACAGAAGGACGGATGGACAGAAAGACGGACGAACGAACAGACAGACAGTCAAGGGTAACATTTAATGCCCAGCAGAGGGGCATAATTAAACAAGACAGACTTATGTTTTACAAGAGGATACGATGACAAGCCTAATTCTACTGATGATGTCAATGATTTGAGTAAATCGTCTGGTAAATGTACAAACTTTTCTGCATCACTTTCTGCCAACAATGATACTAATCTAAAATACTGTGTACACAGGTTAGGAAACTGAAATGAAAGAAATAATAAGTTTTGTTATTAAGTATCATACAAGAATATTCAATACAATAACATTAACATACTAATTTTACCAGATGTGCATTTGTCTCTGCTGTCTATTCAGTGATGCTTGAGGCCAAAATGTTGAAAAAAGAGCTAATGAAACCAAAAAAGACCTAAAGTAAAGATCAGGACAAGGAATCAGAGCTTTGACAACTTTTGAAAAAATTTGTAAGGGTTCCGCGGAACCCAGTGTCTCGCCTACTTTTGCTGTTAATCAACAGTCAACAAATATGAGTAAAAAATCAATAAAAATATTCCTTTAGATACTATCTTTTGATTGTAAGAAGCTTCTGTCAAAATTTGGTATAAATCCAGGATAGTTTATGAATCTAATAAATGTTTTAAAAACTTTAACTGCAGACTGTATTTAATGTTAACTGGAAGAAAAACTAAGTCCATTTATAAGTAAAATACGGATAAACAGGTACAAAATTTTTACAAAATTTCCTTCTAGATACTAGCTTTTGATCATAAACAAGCTTCTCTCCAAGTTTGGTACAAATCCAGGATAGTTTAAGAAAGTTATTAAAGTATTAAAATTTTAAAAACTTTAACCACAGAGTGAATGTATTGTTTCCTGGCAGAAAAACTAAGTCCATTTATAAGTAAAATATGGAAAAAATGAAATTTTTTTTTACAAATTTACTTCTGGATACTATCTTATGATCATAAACAAGCTTCTGTCCAAGTTTGGTACAAATCCAGGATAGTTTAAGAAAGTTATTAAAATTTTAAAAACTTTAACCATAGAGTGAATGTAATGGTTCCTGGCAGAAAACTAAGTCCATTTACAAGTAAAATACGGAAAAACAGGAATTTTATTTTTACAAAATTTACTTCTGGATACTATCTTATGATCATAAACAAGCTTCTGTCCAAGTTTGGTACAAATCCAGGATAGTTTAAGAAAGTTATTAAAATTTCAAAAACTTTAACCACAGAGTGAATATTGGTGGACGCCGCCGCCGCCGACGACAGAATGTAAGATCGCTATGTCTCGCTTTTTCGACTAAAGTTGAAGGCTCGACAAAAAACATATATTAATTCAGTATGGTTGAAATTTTCTACATCTTGTTTCCAAGTCTATGTTATGTGCCTTGCTTTATCTAGAAAATGAGAAAACATTGACAACTTATTTGAAGCTTTCAATATAAAATAAGACTTAAATTCAATTCATTTCAAACCTTTAAGAGATCAGCATTCATCAGTGGAATGATAGTATGAAGACCATACAATGCTACATCAGCAGCTTTTACATGGCCTCCTTCTGGGTTTATGTTCTCATCTGTAAATGGAAACATAGTCTTTAATAAAACAAATGTTGATCGTTTTTAAACAAGTTATTCAATTTGAAGAGTCCTACATCTAATTGACAATACATTGTATAGTTAACAGTAATTATTCTCTTGGTGTTTTCTGTTTCAGATTTACAGTGTTGATAAACAAGATTGTACATTATTACTATAAATATATCAGTTTGATTGATGGTGTTTAACATCACTTTAAGCACTATTATGCTATATCATGGTGGTCAGTTTTTATTGGTGGATAAAGCCAAAGAGAAACACGACCTTCGGTTGGAAAACTGACAATCCTAGTCAAATAAGATTGGAGTCAAGAGCACCTGTCAAGTGTGGGATTGGAACTCACAACCTCAGAGTTGACAGGCAAGTTATAAAGTAGTTACACTTCTTAGACCACTTAGCCACCGAGGCCCCACCATATATATATCATCTTTCAACAATCTGTGAATAATACAACAGATCAGTCTTTTAAAAGTCCTTTCTAGTAATGCAAGTACAATTCATGTGTTGTGAATGACAATTAGACAATTATGTCTACTTTTCTGAAGGTAACTTTTTAAATTGCTATGAAATATACATACTATCTTCTCCAAAATCAATAAAATCCTTGGACAACAGATTTGTGAGTAATTCCATAACAATGAGAATGTCATTATATTTATCTTCCTGGTCTTCATCATATCTATGGCTCATCACATGTTTACCTGTAAATAAAAAAAAGTATAACATGCAGGGAATGTACTGGCTTCCAAAAAGTTGTTCTTATAACTCAATTGCCAGCATAAATATTTTGTCACTGGTGTTTAAAACATTTGTGTCAAGTTCCTTGTATCCCATCTTTTTAAACATGCATTACATTTGTTGATCCTTCATATAAAATAATTCATACTAATGAGCTTTCAATATCTTTTAAAAAAAGGTTTCATTGTTTGCTTAATGTTAACCATTGGAAAAGCCTTTCTAACTTTAATAACAAGCAAGTATACAATTGAAACTGGAAGTGTCATCTTTTTTCCACAACTTGAAGAAACTGTAAAACTATTAATTTTTGTTTGGTTGAAAAGCAGCAATTACCAATTTAAAGACTTTGTTCTGACTAAACCAGAAATTAAAACCAATGATCTTCACCCAAGGCAGGCACTTTATCAGAGACCAAAGACTTGAATTGATCAATCTCCCAAAAATTTACTTAAAATAAATATAAGATGGCATTGATTTTTAATAAACAGTAATGTAAGAAGCTACATCTTCCACATGACAGCATTGTAACATGAATGTGAATGTTTTATTGTACACTGAAGGTAAAATATATTTTTATCTTCATGCATACATTATGCACACAGACCGTCTTCTCTGTCCATCAACAGTTCTTGTTCATGAAATATTTGATCAATTTATACGTTATCTCCCTTGAATTTTAAGATTTTAATTTTGAAAAATATTTGTTGTGTGCAGTACATATAAAACATGATAGGTTAATTTGGTGGGAATGAGGGTATATCATGACTGGAAGGTGTCATTAAAAAAAATATCAAAATTTTCAATTTGGAATTGTGTATTAAACAAACTATTTTTTAACTCTTACATAATATGAAAGTTTTATATAATTTCAGTCGGTTGATTTTATGAATTAGAATGAAATTATTTTCTTCTGAATTGTCTGCCCATAGATAGCGTTTAGGTTATGTGTTTTGTATGATTTGGCGGTTAAATCATTCGGCATGACATGGTCTACTCGAAAGGTCACGTTAATTTTTATATCCATGCTATAAGTTATTTTGTATCATGCATTATGAGATTGGTTGGCTTTACAGATGTTTGTGTTTATTGAAATATATATATATGATGACATTATCAAAATGTTTAGTAATCTGTATATGATAAATGTTATTAAATGGTTGTTATTAAACCAGCCCTCGGCTCTGTCGTGTGGTATTGCACTATGCTATTTTTTGTTATTTATTAATTATGAGTATCAATCAGTGGTTGTGATATATGGGTGTTAACGGAAGAAGAACAATAAAAATATCTAATATGTAGATTATCATTGATTAATATCAATACATGTTTAAATGTAATGAATGTTTTTTTCTTTAATAGATAAGTTTTGAAGACTTTGAATCAAAGTCAATGCTAGATCAACGTTAATGACATAGAACTTTTCTATATCACAAAGCTCTGGTCCTCCCTCACTTGCTAAACTAAAAGTTAGTTTCAGAAAATTTTGTGTAAAAATTCACTCCCAAAACATGTGAGATAATTACTAATTATCAGTCGTCCCACTGTCTATATCACTCTGCTCAGCTCTCAATAAAATTGCATATAACGGCTTTGTGACGTCAAATATGTTGACCCGGCCTTAATAACTTTGACCTGGACATATCAGTGACGTCATAATGTTTGAACCGACGTTGATAAGGTTGACCCGAACTTATCAAGTCATCTTCAGGTTTGTTGGTGAAACGAAGAAAACACTTCCAAAATACGCAAATTCAGCCCGATAAATCGATTATCAGGTTGTCTGCATATTTAGATTGTAAAATATCAGCTGCTCGACACAATATGAAGGCTTTTTGAACTCGTTCGCTGCGCTCACTCGACAAAAAGCTTTATATTGTGACTCGAAGCTGATATTTTACAACATCAATATGCAGACAACCTGATAATCAGTACATATTCTGAGGAAGCAACTTATACTTTAAACAATTTCCCAAACTTATAATGATCTTTGGTTTATCAGAAAAAAATTGAAATAAAAAATAATTCAAATGTTAAATATCTTCTATTTCCCTATACAAATGCATTATACATACTTAAGGTATAACTAATGTGACATATAACTTCGGCATCTCTTATATGTTAAGTGAATAATTGAATAATAAACAGCTGCGCCATGAGCGCATGATACGCCCGTCGTCTTGTGTGTGAATTTTTATGCAATCAGCATAAATAGTTTCTGACATACGGCGTGACATGCGAAAAACCCCCTTTTTTTTAACAAAAAACTCAATATCTCTAAAATAAAATTTTGAATCAAAACCAAAAAGTATACAGATCTTTAGATTAATATAACTAAGAAGTGTGTAAAATTTAAGCAATAATCATAAATCGTTTTTGAGATATGGCGCGACATGTGAACACCTCCCTTTTAAAAGAAAAAAATCAATATCTCAAAAATAAAATTTTGAATCAAAACCAAAAAGTATACAGATTTTAGATTAATATAACTAAGAAGTGTGTAAAATTTTAAGTAATAATCATAAATCGTTTTTGAGATACTGTGCGACATGTGAGCAACCCCTCCCCCTTTTTTTACAAAATACTCAATAACTCAAAAATAAAATTTTGAATCATCACCAAAAAGTATACAGATCTTAAGGTTAATATAACTAAGAAGTGTGTAAAGTTTTAAGCAATAATCATAAACTGTTTTTGAGATACGGCACGACATGTGAAAAACCCCTCCCCGTTTTTTAACAGAATACTCAATATCTCTAAAATAAAATTTTGAATCATCATCAAAAAGTATACAGATCTTAAGATTAATATAACTAAGAAGTGTGTAAAGTTTTAAGCAATAATCATAAATTGTTTTTGAGATACGGCGCGACATGTGAAAAAAAACACACACCTGTTTTAGTTACTAAGTCCTGCAACTCAAAAAGTTTTAATCTTATATTCACCAAAAAGTATACAGATTGTTTGACTATCATAAGAAACAACTATGTTAAGTTTCATGAAATTTGGATAAGTCATTCTCAAGTTATGGTGCGACATGTTTACGCCGGACAGACGGACAGACAGACGGACGGACACCGGACATTTGTATACCATAATACGTCCCGTCAAAAATTGACGTGGGTATAAAAACAACGTACTTATAGGCGATTTTCACAAGAATATGTATGATAAAGTGATATATATTAACACCATATAAATACCTTTGTTATGTTTTGAATAAGTTTCTATCACAGATAAACTTAGCTCATATAACTTTCTTGATTTGGCCTGAAAAAAGTGAAAAATAAAACTTCAAAAATGTCAATGAATTGTTGGGAAGATATTTATCCAACTGATATATGCTGCAGCATTGAGAGGTATACCTGAAATTGGAGGATTGTATGAAATATATCTCATAATTCCCTTTTAAAAAAAAATTCAAAACTGAATATAAAATTTCACATTAGTCTGTATTTCCTGATACACACAGCTTAACAAATACCAATACAATATCTAAAAATAGTACAAATTTGTATAAATATACTTAAAAAGTTGAGAAGGTTGAAATATCTTTAAAAAGTTCATAAAAACATCGGCTATAAAATCTTTGAATTTCAAATTCAGCAGCATACAATATTTGTGTCAACACATTCCTGAATGAAAAAAAAAATCTGTAAATACCTTTAAGATAAAACTATTGGAAATATAGCTAATTTCTAAAATTTGTGCATGGTGTATGCATTGCAGAACTTAGTAATTTTGTTCAATACTGATGATTTCTTACACTGAATATAATTAAGAAGAAGGTGGTAGGCTGATGAGTTGATATAATACATACCTCTCCCAAGAAACATAACTGTTTCTGTATAACTTCAGAATAAAGTTCTAACACTAATGGCACTACATCTTCATAATTATGATATACATCTGTAAAATAAATGTGACACCATAATTTAATCACATATTTCTACTATTTAAATGTTTTTGTGTCATACTCTGAAAGATGTAGCATACTTTGTAAGGACAGGTTAAAGATGGTGAGACATCTTCTTTATTTTTACTTTATTCTTGCTACAAATTATGCATTTTTTTATTGCTGTTAACAGATATGTCTTAGAACATGACTAAGAGCAAATATTTCATGAAGTAATGCAAGGCCTTCGCCTTCGGGCTGTTCCATAAAAACATACATGGGACCCAGGGAAGGCACTTTGAAATCTCTACTATGGGTGGGTGTCAAGTACAGTAGAAATGTAATTGAAATTCTAAATTTGCCTCTATAGGTGGTTACCCCATTAGGAAAGTGCCTTCCCTGGGTACCATGTATGTTTTTATGGAACAGCACTTAAACAAAAAAAGATATATTTTCAGGATTCATGTCAAATCAAGACTCAAGTTACAGCAACCATAAAACATTTGTCTGTTATGGGTATATATTTGGAGTTAAATATCAACCAATATTATAAATTTATTGGTCAAGAATATTATTTTCTATGCAAACAAACCACATTACATCTAAATATTCTGAAATGAAAGAATATTTCAGGTGCAATATACAGCTGGACATTTTGTATAAACACCTGGCTTTTGTTAAAAAACATATATATTGTTCTGAGATGTCTTTTTTTGTGTGATTGGGTTAATATCTCACTGAAGTTTCTCCTTTCAGTCATGTTTCGGCAAAATAATTCTTAAGTCAAAAAATATTGGACAATGAATCACCATGTGTCTGGTCCCTAGGAAAAACTACTATCTTACCTAAAATTTTAACACATTCTTCTAATAATGGATGTAGAAAATCAAACAATCTGTTGAGGTTATCTACCCTTGTTCCTAAAGCTACACCACGTACAGATTCTAATAAGTCTATCACTTGTGTTTTTACTCCTCCTGAGGAGTACACTTTTAAAAAGTTCTCTTGACACACTATTTTATAAAATCTGTCATGTAACGATCCTAGTATCTGAAATATATATATAACATAACATGAAGCATATGTTTCAAATATCAAGGAACATACTATCATTTTACTTAGCCTAAGTTTGCATCAGAAAGTATAACAGGCTACCACCAAATATGTTCCCTGCTGTGTACTAGACCAATAAGCTGACCCAGATTTTTTTATGTGCTAGTTCAAAAGGTAACAGTCCGCAGAAGACAGTTTACCTATCTGGACACATTTTTCTGACTCTGAGACACCCAGGTTTGCTCTTAAACCTAAATGCAATCTGCTTAGCAGAAAAGCAGCAAATACTAATTTTCAAGTCTTTTGCTTGACCCAGCTGGGGATCAAACGCACAACCTCCGGCACACAAGGTGAGCATGCTACAACAAGAAGACTGAGGTGGTTCCTTAATACATAAACTTTTATCTTGTTTTGATTGATGGATTGATTGCTGGTGTTTAACGCCACTTTCAGCACTATTGGCTATTTCCTGGCTGACAGTTTTTATTGGGGAGGAAACTGGAGTGCCCTGAGAGAGAACCACTGAGCTTCAGCAGGAAAACTGGCACTCCTAGTCAATTTAGATTTGATTCTAATGCACTTGCCACATGCAGGGTTCAAACTCACCTCAGTGTTAACTGGCTAGTGATACAATAGTTGAACTACTTAGACCACTCTGCCACCTTATTTTGTTTTGTAAATTAATTTTAAACTTTTTTGTCATTACATAATTAACTTACACAATTCCAATATTGCTCTTTCCATGTTTCATCTTTTACTCCTGATCCAGCCAATACTAAAGCCCTTAACAAACATCTACGGCCATGAGATGGAAGACAGTTGTAAGGAGGCTGGTGATTGGCTTCTTCTTTAGCTAATGTCCATAGATGCTCACACTTTGTTACATATTCAGCTCTGTAAAAATAACTGGAGTATATAATAACAAGCATCTCTTTCAAGATCAGAACATTCAACAAATATATATCAATAATTTAACAGAACTTGACAGCAATGTCACAAAAACAAATGTGTATTAACAAAAAATGAAATTGGAAAAACTGAAAATTCAATTATCATATTTTTATAAGAACTGTATATTTATTCTTTAATATTTATAAATAAACAAATATCAAGAATAATGGAAGGGAATGTTTTTAAGAAGATCGATAATTGCAAGCTACAATGTGAAAATGGAACTAAGTATGTCAATCTACTGCAAAGCCAGGTACTTTCACATCATACATCATTTTTTCAAACTAAATATAAATGCAATTGTCCCCAACAACAAAAACTGGCATTCAGCAACCATTTATCATTCAGTTCATTCTCAAAACACCCTGGAAGTCTTTTTCATACTTTTATTCTATGTAAATCTTATTGTTTTTTCTAATGCAAATAAAAAGTAGGGAAACTGTATACAAGTCTTGAGGAAACTCACAAATCTATTTTCTAACTGACTTTTCCTTTTACTTGCTTTTTATTAAATTCTGATGTCCAGACATTTAATAAGTTTTAAAGATTATACCAATAATCTTTTCTCTTGATCAAGTCAAGTAGTCATATATTTGACATGTTATCTTCCTTCGTGTATGGTTGGAAAAACCTTGTAGTGACATATTTCTTGTCTTAATGCTGTTAAGTGTCTTGATATCAATGACAATTCTCTGCTTTACAGAATAGACTTACTTTGATTTATTTTCCACCAAAGAAACCAGCAGGTCAAGGGAATCCTTTAAAACATTGTCTTCCGATGTCCAGGCATTTAAATTACACATAATACAATTAAAAAGAAATGATATCACCCACTGGGCACCATCAGCATCTCGACCAAAGGAAGACAAGAGGGCCTGACTGACCTAAAAATATAACAGAAATATAATTCACCCATGGCAATCTGAATTTTCTGGGAAAAGGTTCGATGGCACCCGACTGAGCAACAATATGACACATAGTACCTTAAATATGAAATACAATTCAATTGAACAAACACAAAATTCGGAAGTAGGATTACATTATGATAAAAAATAGTTGAACAATTTTTTTTATGAAATTGAAATTCACAGGTATTACAAGAATTATGAGGAAAGAAATCAATTCTGTAAATATTAATATAAGACATGTTTTCATTATTTGTTGACGTATAAAAAGACAAACGCAAGACAGAATCTGTCTACATGCTTGTATCTTTTATTATTTTCACAGTACTAGATTCTTGGTTTGTAATGCTATTGTACAAATCATCACCTCTGTTGAGGCTTTATTCTGTTGTTTGATTGCTATATCATTGACAAAAGTCACACATCTAATATTCATTATATATATTATCATTGTTTCATTCAAAGCAACATAAATATTTAAGCTATTAACAACTGTGGCAGTACAAGTACTTTTACAGACATGCATGTATTCATATATTAATACACTATCAACAATAACAATGTTTCATATTTATATACATGAACTTTGAACAATACCAATCACTAATAAGAAGTTAGAATATATTTATGAAAAATAACAGTGTGCTAATGATACATAAATTCCATACCTTAAAATGTTCATACATTTAACACAAATTCTAAGAAATGTTTTAATATTGGGAATTAAGAGTCTGAGAAATATTTCTAATTTCTTTAAATATATCTTGCAAAAGGAATTCTTGATTACATCAAGTTGTTGTACATGTAGTATTCATGAAGTTTGGCTCCAATTTTCATATATTTTTCTACTTTTGTTTTGTAATATAGACAGAGCAATAATCATTTATCAAACAAACTGCCAAAAGATAAATATTCTTGCCATTTTTCATTTCTTCTGCCAAAAGATTAATATTCTTGCCATTTTTCATCCTGTCTGAGCTTTTGCAGTTATTATTTGATATGTCAGGAGTATAAAGGATAGTGTTTATTTTGATATAATTTACTGGTCACACTATAACATACTTATTACAGCATTACAGCATTTTTTAAACACTTACATGGTACTATAACATTTAAACTTTTAAATATAAAAATAAGAAGATACTGTATTATTGCCAATGACTACTTTTCACCAGAGGTCAAATGATAAAAAAAAGTTAGCAACTATAGATCACTGTACCACCTTAGTTCTTATGGTGAAAAAGCTATGGTCAAATTATAGAAATTTACCAGTAACAGCCATAACAGACTTATTGTTTACACTTGATTTGGACTGAGGTTACTGTGAAGAATGCTTATACCTTCTGCTCAATGGTCAAGGAATGAAAAGGCTATTTTACAGAACAAGAAGTCAATTTTTCTTATCAACCCAAATGCCTTTCCTTTGCCTTCATCTTTATACGGTACATAAACTTTCAGTAAAACCAACAAGGATATATTGCAGGAGAAGTACTTACAAGGCAGACAGACAGTTAGGCAACAGTTTGCTCTTCAAAATTTGCCTGCTAAGGGTATGATTCAGAACTTTTTTGTGCAAGTTATAATATTAACATGTCATTCAATTCAACCAAACATGTTAAGATTTTGCATGCGAGGAATCCAACAAACTACATGCTGTCTTACCCACTGATCCTCACTATCTGACATTGATTTACTTGTTAAATTAGAGGGAACCTGGTATTTAATCAAAAATAGAATATATATACTTTTCTATCAAATTACTCAGATTGCTTTCTGTTTAGTTTTTAGAAGAATTTGAACCTTATTTGTCAAACACAAAAAATACACATCTTATTGTTAAGAGGAAATGCAAGACAAAGGCACAAGTATTTTAAGCTAGATAGATATCATGAAAAATAAGACTTAAAAAATGGTTATTTTTGAAATCTCAAGAAGAGATTTTGTATGAATTTATAGGGTTAAATATACTTACCATGAAATTACATTTATATTATATAGAATATGTTTGCTTTCACAACATGTTCTCATCGCAATTAACTAGGTGATTAAAAATTACATCCATAAGATGTGCTCACCTACGTCATAATTTACCTGTGTAAGATACAGTAAGTTAGTTTTAATTTGTCGTTTAATTGAATAATTTCAATTATGTGAACAAAAAACTGAATTTATTCCAGGGGTGGTGGTGGATTGTGGTAAGTATATTTAACCCTATAAATTCATATAAAATCTCTTCTTGAGATTTCAAAAATAACCATTTTATATGAATTTGGTTAAATATACTTACCATGAAATTACATTTATATTATATAGAATATTTACTGATTAACAAGCAGTATTTTATTTTGGTGGAGGATAAATTCTCTCACACATATACAATTTCCAACATATAAAACTATGTCAAAATTTAAAAAAAATAACTCCACTTAATTTTGTAAATACGGATATTAGTCAAAACCGAAATTACTAAATTTAAATTTATTATACAATAAAGCTATGCTGTATAACTGTATGTATCAATGGCAAAACTTTGCAGATTGCATAAATAAAAGTATGCAAAAATAGACTGGATGGAGAGTTGTCTCATTGGCACTCATACCACATCTTTCTATATCTGTTGAATAAATAATCTACAGGCCAGTATAGAAATTATTTCATTAAAGCTCCTTCATTATGAGTTAAATGTGTTGTAATATTATTGCAACAGTAAAAAAGCATTTATTTTTGAATAGATTGTTCTTATTGCTTGTACAAATCGACAAGAACTAATCCAACCTTAGTATCATTTACTTTCAACTTTGAAATATTAGTTTCAAAACTTTAGTTTATTTGATAAACAATTAGCTTCTCTCTAACTTTCCATTGTTTTCTCTATAGTTTTAATATAATAACAGAGAATATATGATTGCTGTCATCTTTTGATAACCTGATCAATATCATATCTTTCGAAATAAATTCTTTTCTGCTTAATTGTCAAAGAATTATAATCAATTAAAATATACTTTGTAAATAAGTGTCCTTAATACAAACAAAGTATAATAAAGACTCAAACAAAAGTTGTTTCATTATTATGCTAAATCTGGATTAATCTATAAACTTTTTTTTTTTTGAAGTTATAGTCTCCCTGAGTACTTATTCCTCTGCTAGATATACTACTCTTTTTAATATCTTATAGATTTAGAACGAAAATATTTTTGTCAAGAGAAGTCTTGCATTATTATAGAATGACAATTTTCCAAACCAACTAAATTTTAAAATCTGATAGAAATTTCTATGAGTGGTAGAACCTTTGAATACAATGTCTACCAGTTCAACAATGAACAATCTTTTTGTTTCGTATTAGACTACTTAAGTGTAAAAATACAGAAATGGACAAATCAGTGGAAATGTTTAAATATACATGTTTTCCAATGGTATCATAATGCTTCTACAGAGCATTTGGATGTTGAGCAAGCCAATAACTGTTGTCCTAATAAGCCAAAAAAAAATGCTGACAGATGATTTTCTCCAACTATGAAAAATCTGTCTGTCAATGTTGTTTTGATATTTCTAATTAATATTTCACAATGATATACTGTCTAAAATTAGAACCCTTATAAATTATATCTTGCCATGTACAGTTCCAAATTTAAAGAAACAAAAGTTTGACATATTGAACAACTCTTGAACTGTTGCTCTTGACAATTATTGTTTATATTTGTTTCAGAAATTATTTCGCAATCAGAAATACTAACATGCAACTTGTTAAATATAGTTCTATAGGTGTATTTGAAGAAAACACGTTTGACCATATGGAAAAACACTTGTACTAACTTGCGGACTTAAGTGTTCTTAGTTGTTTTAGAAATGGTTTCACAATCAGAAAAGCTCATTTTATTTCTCTCTTGGTTCACCTTATCTGAATTCTATACATTCTGATATGATTCCGTATATACCAACCAAAACACTTTTGGTAGTATTTTTTTGTGTGACTTCAACCCAGTCATTTGGTTCACTAAAAGTCACTCAGAAAAATTTTGCATTTGTCCACAGATTTGACAAAACAAAATAAATGTGATTTATATAATCACATCTTTCAAAACAGTATTGAATCAAAATTCAAAGTAACTGTTAATAAACACATTTCAATTTTGTCTAGTATATTCTTGCATAAAATACTAACTCTATGCTAGATATTAATATTATTTCTGCCAATTTCTGCAGAAAAAGGACTAAGAAATATTGTTTGATAATTGACTGGTCATTATGAAATTTGAATAGTGAATACCATCAATTTGGGGATTAAATCGCACGCATTTGGAAACTTTCCTGCATTTAGATAAGTCACAACTTGACTTTGACAAGACTAGAATTTTTGTGTACTCTTTGCTTATAATGAGCAAAAATAAAAATAAACAGTGACATTTTAAATTTAGATATTAACAAATGTCTTGCACTTAATATAATCATGGAATTACCATATTGCATTTTACTTCCATGTACTAACAGACTATTGAATGTTATTTGCTAACTATTAATCAGTCTTTTAAATAAACTGCTTTTCATGTATTTTGCTCTTAGATTAACTGCTTCTACACTGGTGCTAAAATTTGAGAACCAATTGAAATATATATATGTATATATTGGTACATTATGTAGCCCAAAAAACCTCTTCTTTTTTCTGCATCTTGTAAAGACTGGCTAAAAAGAAGCTTTATATAAAGAGCTGTATTAGATAGTTCATTTTTAAAACTTGTGAACTACTCCAATCTCCAAGTCCATGTCTAGCATTTTTAATGAATCCTGCATCCACAATGCTTTAAATTTTCTTTATTTATTTACTAATATTTTACTAATTATCTAATTTTTTTGCAAAATCTATCTGACATGTCTTTATTTTTACATTAAATTCTCAAAATACAAATCCTAAATTAATGATAATCTTGTTTTTATATATCAGTATCTTTGTGTCCTCTATAGTTCAGCTTTCTGATTCAATATAAACTCAAGGAAAAAAAACGTGTAGGAGTTTGTTAAGCTGTTTTTTTTTTTTTTGTTTTTTTTTTTACTACCGATCTCACATTAAGACTGAAAACAGACCCAATGAATGAATCCCTTATAGCAGAATCTTGCCAAACTTGTTGGCATTGCTTTGAAAACTTAAGATGTAAAGGCATAATTTTCTATCTTTAAAAGAGCTTCCAAAAATCTCTCCCTTTCATGATTGGAAGATACATGTATTATTTGACAGTGATTCTCATATAGTGAGGGTAAAATAGACCCTTAAGTCTTATGTTATCACCTTTTTTGTGTACTTAACACAAAATAGCACAAGTACATATTATGTTATATGCATTGGCAATGTTCACTCTGAATTATGTAATCAAAATAAAAGCCATTTCCCTGAATGAGTCTTTGGGAAATGCATCATGGCATCCCCTAAACTCTTAATCCAAGAGACAATCTAATGTTTACTTAAAAAACATATAAAAGTCTTTGTTTCGTTACTGCAGACAAAACAACCAATTGGTCATAGCAGTACATACTGATAATATTAATGTTCTTCTTGTCAGTAGTAAACTGACCATGAAAATTAAAAATTGATAAAATGAGTTGTCACAAGCTATCAACTGGTTTTAGAACGGTGTTCCATTCTTACTGACTCAACATATTAGTATTTATCAGTAAAGAAAATATTTACAGCAATTTCCTGCTCCGAGAAAATATTTCAGGCTTCTGAGAATTTACTGTCCTGATTAAAACTGGACATAATTAAAAAATTTGTGTATTGATATGCTTAATCTGCATACACATTTGTATTGTACTAGATAACACTGTACTATTTCAGTGATTTTATCTGTCTTGACCATTTCCAGACACTCTTTCAATATATTACATTGTATTATCAATATGAGTATATATGTAAATTGACTGAACTGTTCGTTCATCACAAAAATCAATGTGCAACCAAAAATTAGCTATGCTTGCAGGTTGTTTTAAATATAATAAGGGTAGACCTAACGTTCTCTGGATGGAAGGATGTCTACTGCAACAATCAGATAGACCTGGATTAAAATTCACTATTCTGAGTCTAATTTATTTTATTTCAGTACGTCAAAAAATGAAGTTTTTATTTACAACAATGGTCTATGCTCCATAAATATCAATGTGCAATCAATTAATAGTTATGATTTTTATGTAAGATATCAAATCTGTATTGTAGTAGAATGCATGCAACTTACAGATCCAAAATCATGCATGTTGTTCTAGTTCCTATGTTTCCTGGATGAAACGATGTCAACATTAATCAGATAGACTTGGGCAAAATCCCTATTCTAATTTTAATTTTATTTGTGATTTATTAAGCACGTTTTATTTTCAATAAATATGGTCTATGCTCCCTGAATGGAAGGTTAACCAAATAAACATAATCAGTTGTGGGCAAATTCCCTATTCTGATTGTGATTTATTTTATTTTATTTTATATTTATTTATCAACTTTAAACAGTCAATGTGAGTATCAATGTTGGTCTACGCTCCCTGTATGGAACGTTATCCAAATAAAATAACAATCGGATATGGGCAAATTCCCTTTTCTGATTGAAATTTATTGAACCAATTGAGGTTCTAGTGACAATAGTGGTCTTAGCTCCCATAAGGACGTTATCCACATTAAAATAGTGACAATAGTGGTCTACGCTCCCATAAGGACGTTATCCACATTGAAATAATCAGATCTGGCCAAAACACCTATTCTGATTTTAATATAGTGATGTGTTTACACAGTCTCGTGTACAGACTGTAAAATTGTAAACAATCAACTTATCCAAACTTTCCACTTGACCCGTTTCGTAGATTGCTCTAAACAGCTAAAAATTCGGTCAGCGTGGAAGAAGTATTAAAACATCCATTATTTCTAAAAAACGGAGCACTCACGTAACATGTCCGATTTTGACAGAAAAAATCTGCCTTTCCTCGGACTGGACTTCATGTTTGAAAATGGCGGCCAAACAAAGGTCATTTTCTAGGTCGTCGTTGTTCCAGACTCGTAAGCTGTAAAATTGATGAAACGTGCATATCAGAAACTTGACAGAAGCGCTGTATTCACATTAAATTAATCGTAAAACGATATACCGAAAACAAATAATGTCTTTTATAAAACATAAGGATTTAAAAATCCTTGTCGACGAGAAACATGCGTTCACCTGAACGCAAAAATTAAAACTAACTTACTGTATCTTACACAGGTAAATTATGACGTAGGTAAGTACATCTTATGGATGTAATTTTTAATCACCTAGTTAATTGCGATGAGAACATGTTGTGAAAGCAAACATATTCTATATAATATAAATGTAATTTCATGGTAAGTATATTTAACCAAATTCATATAAAATTTGTAAACAGCTGAATTGATACTAGTAAGTATTTTTTTAACTTTGATTTGTCCAACAGGAATTTAAAAATTCACATTTTGCCATTGAACTTTTAGAGATCCATGATGCAGTAGAAAAAAACCCAACTCACTTAAAGTACATTCAGGAAAAGATTCAAGATTATGTTATCTCCTTTAATTCTACAACAGGCAAAAATAGCTGTTCTTCTGTCTTTTTCCTCTTCTCATTTTTTTTTATTTCTGTCCATCTATGAGCATCAAGTTGCTTAGGAGGATGTTAAGACCCCAACTAACTAACAAAGTTTTGTTTTATTTTAATCTAAATAAATACTGATTACGGTTATCTTTCTTAATTGTATCATCCTTACTTGTGCATAGTAATTTTCATCTGGTAGTAGATATGACCTTGACCATCGATGTAAGAACCACATGGTTGTACTGATTAGCTGTGGACTAATACATCCTGTCAGTCTGGCATCCACAGCTCGTCTTTCTACCTCACATAAACGGAATACACCTGACACTAACCTGAAAAGATTATAGCAGAATATTTTCAAAACAAGAAACATTGTTTAATATCAAACAGAACCTCATTTCTGATGAAATATATAAATCTGAATAAAACAACTATATGCTAATTACCTACTGATGCAATATAAAAATTTACTGAGAAAATCTTTTGAAAATTCAAAAATAACTCTAAAACCCTTATTGGTCCAAAAATACATATGCTTTTGTAAATATATATATTTCTTATATATTTTTCTCTACTCCAGGAAAAACTTAAAAGCCAGTATTTTTGTAATTTTCTTTGTATTCATGTAACAGGAAGTTACCTAACTGCACCATCTGTATGTTGTTTTGCTCCAGGTATGGATTCTATAGGAACTTACCTAACTACACAATCTGTATGTTGTTCTGCTCCAGGTATGGATTCTATAGGAACTTACCTAACTACACCATCTGTATGTTGTTCTGCTCCAGGTATGAATTCTATAGGAACTTACCTAACTTCACCATCTGTATGTTGTTCTGCTCCAGGTATGAATTCTATAGGAACCTACCTAACTACACCATCTGTATGTTGTTCTGCTCCAGGTATGAATTCTAAAGAAACTTACCTAACTACACCATCTGTATGTTGTTCTGCTCCAGGTATGAATTCTAAAGAAACTTACCTAACTTCACCATCTGTATGTTGTTCTGCTCCAGGTATGAATTCTAAAGAAACTTACCTAACTACACCATCTGTATGTTGTTCTGTTCCAGGTATGAATTCTACAGGAACTTACCTAACTACACCATCTGTATGTTGTTCTGCTCCAGTTATGGATTCTATAGGAACTTACCTAACTACACCATCTGTAAGTTGTTCTGCTCCAGGTATGAATTCTATAGGAACTTACCTAACTACACCATCTGTATGTTGTTCTGCTCAAGGTATGAATTCTATAGGAACTTACCTAACTACACCATCTGTATGTTGTTCTGCTCAAGGTATGGACTCTATTAGAACTTACCTAACTACACCATCTGTATGTTGTTCTGTTCCAGGTATGGACTCTATTAGAACTTACCTAACTACACCATCTGTATGTTGTTCTGTTCCAGGTATGGATTCTATAGGAACTTACCTAACTACACAATCTGTATGTTGTTCTGCTCCAGGTATGGATTCTATAGGAACTTACCTAACTACACCCTCTGTATGTTGTTCTGCTCCAGGTATGGATTCTATAGGAACTTACCTAACTTCACCATCTGTATGTTGTTCTGCTCCAGGTATGAATTCTATATGAACTTACCTAACTACACCATCTGTATGTTGTTCTGCTCCAGGTATGAATTCTATAGGAACCTACCTAACTACACCATCTGTATGTTGTTCTGCTCCAGGTATGAATTCTAAAGAAACTTACCTAACTACACCATCTGTATGTTGTTCTGTTCCAGGTATGAATTCTACAGGAACTTACCTAACTACACCATCTGTATGTTGTTCTGCTCCAGTTATGGATTCTATAGGAACTTACCTAACTACACCATCTGTAAGTTGTTCTGCTCCAGGTATGAATTCTATAGGAACTTACCTAACTACACCATCTGTATGTTGTTCTGCTCAAGGTATGAATTCTATAGGAACTTACCTAACTACACCATATGTATGTTGTTCTGCTCAAGGTATGGACTCTATTAGAACTTACCTAACTACACCATCTGTATGTTGTTCTGTTCCAGGTATGGACTCTATTAGAACTTACCTAACTACACCATCTGTATGTTGTTCTGCTCCAGGTATGGATTCTACAGGAACTTACCCAACTATACCATCTGTATGTTGTTCTGCTCCAGGTATGGACTCTATTAGAACTTACCTAACTACACCATCTGTATGTTGTTCTGCTCAAGGTATGGATTCTATAGGAACTTACCTAACTACACCATCTGTATGTTGTTCTGCTCCAGGTATGGATTCTATTAGAACTTACCTAACTACACCATCTGTATGTTGTTCTGCTCAAGGTATGGATTCTATAGGAACTTACCTAACTACACCATCTGTATGTTGTTCTGCTCAAGGTATGGATTCTATAGGAACTTACCTAACTACACCATCTGTATGTTGTTCTGCTCAAGGTATGGACTCTATTAGAACTTACCTAACTACACCATCTGTATGTTGTTCTGCTCAAGGTATGGATTCTATAGGAACCTACCTAACTACACCATCTGTATGTTGTTCTGCTCCAGGTATGGATTCTACAGGAACTTACCCAACTATACCATCTGTATGTTGTTCTGCTCCAGGTATGGATTCTATAGGAACTTACCTAACTACACCATCTGTATGTTGTTCTGTTCCAGGTATGGACTCTATTAGAACTTACCTAACTACACCATCTGTATGTTGTTCTGCTCCAGGTATGGATTCTACAGGAACTTACCCAACTATACCATCTGTATGTTGTTCTGCTCCAGGTATGGATTCTACAGGAACTTACCTAACTATATCCCGCAATGGTGGTAAGTCGTGCACTTAGGGCCATTTTTTATTTTATTTTTCTGTAGACTTAGTTTCGTTTTTTTATTACTGTGTATTGTCAAGCTTGGTTACTCATAATTGTTTCTCAGCCACTGAATGTACGATGTTGTTCGATACTGGAGCAGCTGACCCGGTTTGTTTATATTCACATTCTAATAGCTTCAAAACCACGTGACACATTGAATCGTTATATCCAATCAAATTGCTCTACTGTCAATTAGGTGATTTTTTAGTACAAGGCAATTATATTATTTGTTTGTATGATATTGCTTTGAAATGGTTTGCAATAAATTGGGGGTTTATTCAATAGGAAACCTCATTATTAGCCATGAAATTTGACATCAATGGAATTTTATATGAATATTTACTTATGGTCAGAATATCGATCTCTTAATATTGAACCAAATTTTTTTTTTATGAAAAATATATGTATATTGTTTTTTATTAACCTACTCTATATTCCTGAACAAAAATATGGCATGATTATCGTTTGTTTCCCAAAGTTTTTCTTTCAATTTGGATGGTTTTTTTTCGCGGGAAAATCGCGTAAGACGTAAGGTGCTTGCCATTTTGAAATTCTTAAAAATACGATTGGCTTGGCCTGTTTGGTCTGCCATTAAGATTGATGACGCTCAATGGAATGCAAACAAAGCAACGGAGGCCGGAAGAGGGGTTTTCTTTAGTTCTGAAATGTTTTTAGGCTTTCGGAAGTCAGGTTTGAAATGGCCATTAGAAAATCTGCATTTTTGTACAATACTTAAGAATAATAATGAAAACATATCTTTAGAAATATCATTTTATTTAGAAGTGTAGAAAAAATGTATTCTGCACTAATTTTATACGCTGGTATTAGCGTAGTGACGTCAATGCGGAGTTTTTCCGTATGATAAGTACAATAACAAAATCCGAACGAACCAACGTTATGACCGATGATAGACTACGGTAGGATACCATCTGTATGTTGTTCTGCTCCAGGTATGGATTCTGTAGGAACTTACCTAACTACACCATTTGTTTGTTGTTCTGCACCAGGTATGGATTCTATAGGAACCTACCTAACTGAACCATTTGTATGCTGTTCTGCTCTAGGTATGAATTCTATGAACTTACCTAACTACACCATCTGTATGTTGTTCTGCTCCAGGTATTGAATCTATTTTTTCATTAGGAGATGACAGAACTTTGAGTGTTGTATCTATGTTTACATCCTTTGATGTTGAGATGGTGTACTCCATGATATCTGGAGGAATCATGGGAGTTTCTCCTTCAGATTCTATTGTTAGTACATTAGCTATAAAAGAGAAAAATTAAAAACCTTGATACTATTTTAAGTTGATTATCATTGTAATGAAGATCAGATATTTTCTTAACATCTTCAAAAACATTAAGTTCAGTCAAACTTTCTAGACATAGTATGCATCAGTCTACAGGATATGCCAATGTTAAAAACATGATGGAAAACTTGCAGTATATACAGAAATAAGCTTCATGTTTTATGTTGGTATATCAAAAATGAATTCCATAAAATGATTTAAACACAAAAAGAGGATACAATTTGTCAGTGCTATAACCTTATTGTATATGTCTGTTTAAAGTATGTAAGATTACTCAAAGGAAGTGTGTTGATTATGTAGAGTTACTAGAGTCCCTACCTACCCAGCCATATCCATTTAATTGGAATAGGCTTAATGAGGTAACAGGGTATCTTCTTTTAAACATATTATGTTTGAAACACTGTTTGAAATATTGGTCATAATCATACACATTATCTTGATTTCAGTCATTCCATTTTCTGCTTTAATAAAAAATATCAAACTTCTTGTAAATTTACATGTTTGCATATCATCTTTAAAGTTAAGAAACAGTAATAATATCTACTTTTCTTTGGAATTGTTTCAGAGTTTCATATGCTTATACCCTTTTTGCTTCAAATTATTGGTAAAACAGACATACTAGCTACAAGTATAATCCAGTGAAGATCTTCATATAAAACTGTTAAGTATGATGTGTCCATGGATAAATCATGTCCTTCAGCAGCAAATTGTTGTAATCTTTGTAACTGACCGTGTAATCGGGAAATTCTATCTTCTAATATCCTGTAATAAAATGATATTTGTCATTGTTTATGTAAATAGATAAACAGGAAATTATAATTTCAATTTAATTCCATCTTTATCCTGTAATAAGGTCATGTTTCTATACAATTAGAAAATATGTCTTTGTCTTATACGTATTAGTGTTTTTATTCATAGATATTAATTTGATTCGTAGCTGTGCCAAAGCCTATTATCATATTTTAAATAGATGTAGAAATATTTTACACCATGAATAATGTACTTATAAATATGTTTTATAATAGACAAATTTTCTATAATTTTTTAATGTTACAGTCTCTTATAATGCTGTATAAAATGGCTCTCTATTTTATATCTATATTTTGCATTTAATGTAATGTTGTATTATATATTATTGAGAGATGAAACTAAAATAAAATATTGAATTGAATTGAATTACGATCTAGTATCATATAATCAACACCAATCATATGTTTTGGTATGGTACCAATAACATAATGACTTATTTTGACAACAATGGTTTGCCTTGTTATGGTACAAATACAATACATGTAGTAACTAACTTAGACAATAGTGCTACCATTCTAGCCGAGGTACCAATACAATAGTGACTGACTTAAGACAATAGTGGTATACTGTGCTACCATTCTAGCCAAGGTACCAATTCAATAGTGTAAATACTGTGGTATGGTACCATTCTAGCCAAGGTACCAATAAAATAGTGACTTACTTTGACAACAGTGATATATCATGAAAGGTACCAATAAAATAATGACTTACTTGGACAATAGTGAAATACTGTGGTATGGTATCATTCTACCCAAAGTACCAATACAATAGTGACTTACTTTGACAATAGTGGAATACTGTGGTATGGTACCATTCTAGCCAAGGTACCAATACAACATAACACATCACCAAATCTTTCTCTGTCATCCTCTTCAATCTCATCCACATCACTATCTTCCAGGGCTGCATCCATTCCATCCTGCAACAACAGATATTAAAAGATTATTGATGGTTCTTCAAACAAGCTTTAATCTCATTGAAGAGCAAAAGACCTCAGATGAGATGTTGCACAAAAACATCCTCCAGATTAAAATACCACTGATAATCTGTTTATCGCTATTTTCCTAGCCAACATCAATGACGTTGGTTTATGATGTCGTTCATTCTCCTTTTACTAGATTAGGGTGATATAAAAATTTATCACAGTAAAGATCACAGGAAAATTTTAGAAAATAGCAATAAACAGACAAATTTATTTTGTATTTACATTGTATCATAGATCAAATTTATTTGTTCAGTGTATGTTCTCTGGTGTTAATATGTCTTTTGATTGAGTTAAGCCATTTCAATTGATATTTTATAGTGTGTCTTTCTATGTTGGGATGTTACACTATTGTTTCAGATAAGGGTGAAGGTTTGGTACCATTAAAACGCTTAAACCCGCTGCAATTGTTTGCACCTGTCCTAAGTCAGGAATCTGATGTTCAGTAGTTGTAGTTTGTTGATGTGGTTCATAAGTGTTTCTTGTTTTTTTTTAAAGATTAGACCGTTGGTTTTCCCGTTTGAATGGTTTTACACTAGTAATATTTGGGGCCCTTTATAGCTTGCTGTTCGGTGTGAGCCAAGGCTCCGTGTTGAAGACTGTACTTTGACCTATAATGATTTACTTTTATAAATTTTGACTTGGATGGAGAGTTGTCTCATTGGCACTCATACCACATCTTCTTATATCTATAAATTATATTTTGCCTGCATGTTTAAGTTATTAGACCTAACAAAATGTTGACCTTTAAGACCCTTAGCCTTACTGATTTTGTGAATTACAAAATCATGTTCCTAAAATTGTGAATACTTTTGATTGTTGAACATAAAGTTATATAGTTAATAACAACTATGAATTTTAATGACTAACAAAACTCATATTTAACATAGATTGCTGTGTGCAAAGGCTAAAAACTGCAAATTAGAAAATACATGAAAAAGTGATGATTACTATGACTTTGAAAAGGAATCCTATTTTTGGTATATCTAATTTTTCCAGTATTTTGCATTCATGACTGTTTGCCATGAGCATAACTATTTGAGAATCATTAAAACAAATTGTTCTACATAATATTGTGTCCTCTTATATTTATTTCACTTTTGCTGCCCAAACCTTTGGTTCTGAGCATTCCAGATAAAATTTTATTAAGAAATATTTCTCAAACATGGAATTTTTTAAATCATAATTGTGTGAGTTTTACAGCCCTCTCAACTAATTATATGGTACTTTAACACTTTCAAAAGAGAATATCAAATTTTTTGATATTATATCACAGATCTTGTGAAAGAAGTTTGAACATCTCACACTTCTACACAGGCAAATTTTGTTCACGTAAATTTCACGTGAAAATCACGTGAATTTCACATGAAATTTTTCACGTGAGATTCACCTCAAACGAGCTTATACATGAAACTCACGTGAAATTTTTCACGTGAAACTCACGTTAAATTTACGTGAATTTCACGTGAATCGAGCTTTCACGTGAAATTTTTCACATGAAATTAAAGTGAATCGAGCTTTCACGTGAAATTCACGTTAAATTTTTCACGTGAAATTAATGTGAATTGAGTCTCAATCACACAAATTTCACAGTATTTGAGCATATTTTAGATAAGTAAATGCTAATCTAGTACACATTCTATTTTGATATATATAAATATTCTTCTTGGTCTTGAGAATGTATTCATACTTCCATTCTATTTTACTTTCTCTTTGTATCTTAAATTTCTTGGTCCTAAACAATACAAAAAATATTTATTCATCAACTCCAACTCACAATATCTTCAATTAGCAGCAGATAGATTCAATAAAACCAAGAAGGCAAGCAAATATCCAGGGCACCATAGTTCACTCCTAGAACATTTTTGGTTGTGTTCAAGTCTCAATATTTTTGTTAATTTGATGTATGGAAGGTGATTCATTTATAGAAGATGTATGCACTGATGTATATTTCATTTTTAATATGTATGTATAAGTCTTTTTGTGTTCATCAGTTTTGAGACATTCCAATCACATTATGGACAAGTATTACTTGCAAAAGATGCCAATTCTTCTTATGAGAGTTTTGAAGAAAAAAGGTAGTTCACCCTGCCACATACTCATGTACTCTGGTCAATTAAACAGATCATGACATATTGTTTAGACACCTGTCTATTGTTGAGGACTTTTCAGGTGTTTTTGTTGTTGTGTTACTGTCTGATTGATTTATACCTCAAACCTCATTGTATTAATAAACTGAAATAGAAAGTTCTGTGAAATATATTTGATATACCATATTGAAAGTCTTGCTGTTATTTACAACCATTTTTTTCTTATTTCATATATGGTTTTCAGTTTTTCATTTTACCACTGATCTTAAGGTTTAGTCAAAAAGAAAATAAAAGGTGACAAACAACAGGCATATACCATTAAAAGATCTCAAAGTTTTGCTTCACAATAAGCTAAAAATTCTTGTTATTTATATATTTATAAAAAATTCATTTTAAAACAAGCATTTTCCATTTTTAGACAGTAAAAAAAATATACACAATATTTAATTCCAGGTGTTTAGATTTCTAGAATGCACCACTCCCATATCATGACTACATGTTAGTAATGTTTAAGTGTTCTCTCCTGCGTGTAATTGCTACATGTATTTATACACAAGGCTTCCTTCATACATTTGCATTTATCCTTCTAAGATGTTGCTTCCATGATAAAATCCTGTAGTTGCATAATCAGCCATAAACTCTTGGAATACATTTGCTGTAATAAAAAAAACCCAGCATATATTAGTAAAATATACATCAAATTAAATATTGCCTTACTATTCAAGCAAAAATGATAACATCAATTTAATATTTAAACTTACCGGGTACATATATGTATATACTTTTATAAATTGTGACTTGGATGGAGAGTTGTCTCATTGGCACTCATACCACATCTTCTTATATCTATGTATATAATCATGCATGTATATTGTGTGTGTATATACTGAAGTGGAATATTAATAGTTGTTGTTTGTTGCTGCACTACTTTTTGATTACCTCTGCTATGGAGCTTGTGGAGGTTTATAATGGTTGAAATTTGCCATGAAATCTGGAATTTGTAAACATTACAGATGGAAATCAAAATGCTCTGATCATTCTGATGATATAAACCTATTTAATATTAATTTCATAAAATTCTGGCAAGAATTGTACACAAGAGCCATAACAATGCAATTTTCCAAATAATTAATGTTTCCAAGGGGCATAACTCTTTTAACAAGAGTGCACACGCTTAAATGTCTCGCCTTCTTTACTAATCATTGATATTATGTTGATAGTCCTAAATATAAAGCTTTATTACAACTGTCACATAAACTTAACATTAACCAAGAAAACTAAACATTGACCAACGAACCATGAAAATGAGGTCAAGGTCAGATGAACCATGCCAGGCAGGCATGTACAGCTAACAATTCTTCCATACAACAAATATAGTTGACCTATTGCTTATAGTTTAAGAAAAACAGACCAAAACACAAAAACTTAACACTGAGCAATGAACTGTGAAAATGAGGTCAAGGTCAAATAAAACCTGCGCGACTGACATATAGATCATAAAATATTTCCATACACCAAATATAGTTGACCTATTGCATATAGTATTAGAAAAAAAGACCAAAACTCAAAATCTTAACTTTGACCACTGAACCATGAAAATGAGGTCAAGGTCAAATGACACCTGTCAGCTAGACATGTACACCTTACAATCATTCCATACACCAAATATAGTAGACCTATTGCATACAGTATAAGAAAAACAGACCAAAACACAAAAACTTAACTATAACCACTGAACCATGAAAATGAGGTCAAGGTCAGATGACACCTGCCAGTTGGACATGTACACCTTACAGTCCTTCCATACACCGAATATACTTGACCTATTGCTTATAGTATCTGAGATATGGACTTGACCACCAAAACTTAACCTTGTTCACTGATCCATGAAATGAGGTCGAGGTCAAGTGAAAACTGTCTGACGGGCATGAGGACCTTGCAAGGTAGGCATATACCAAATATAGTTATCCTACTGCTTATAATAAGAGAGAATTTAACATTACAAAAAATGTTAACTTTTTTTTCAAGTAGTCACTGAACCATGAAAATGAGGTCAAGGACATTGGACATGTGACTGACGGAAACTTCGTAACATGAGGCATCCATATACAAGGTATGAAGTATCCAGGTCTTCCACTATCCCTATGTCGAGCTTTCTGCGAAATTTGTACAAGACATGCAAGTGAGAGCGCTTATAAGGCCAAAGGGATAGACAGACTCCAGGTATTTTTATGTCCCCTCTGTTTTATGGTGCTTGTCCTAAAGATATAAGAATAATTATAAGTTTACGATAAGGACCAAATATACTTAACATTACCAATGATTCATGAAAATATACTGTCAAGCAATTTATATTAAGGTCAAGTTCAGATAAACCAAGCCAGACAGACATGTGCACCTTACAACATGTACAATTATTGCATACACCAAACTAGAGGCTCCAAGGACCCTGTGTCGCTCACCTGATATTTTTATTTACAATTGATGCATGAAATAATGTAACTGTTATACTTTTGCTTTAGTTTCAGAGATACAAGTCAAAAACTGCATTTTCCCTCTATGTTCTATTTTTAGCCATGTCTGCCATGTTTTTAAAAACTAGATCCCCTAATGATGATTGTGGCCAAGTTTAGTTTATTTGTCTCTGTTGTTTCAGGAGAAGACTGTTGTGAATTAAAAAAAATTACGAAAAATTGTTAAATTTGACTTTAAAGGACAAAAACTCCTTATCAGGTCAATTGACTATTTTGGTCATGATGACTTATTTGTAGATCTTGCTTTGCTAAACATTATTGCTATTTACAGTTTATCTCTATCTATAATAATATTCAAGATAATAACCAAAAACTAAAAAATTTCCTTAAAATTACTAATTCAAAGGCAGCAACCCAACAACAGACAGATATATTATATATCATAATCTGATGAACATATTTTACCCCATGTCAAATTGTCTCTAAATGCTATAATCCAAAAAACTGCATTTTACCACGATGTTCCATTTTAAGCAATGTCTGGTAGGCGGGGTCATCAGACACATTTTTTACACTAGATACCCTAATGATGATTGTGGCAAAGTTTGGTTAAATTTGGCCAAGTAGTTCTAGAGGAGAAGATTTTTGAAAAAGTTAACAGACAACGACGCCAAGTGATGAGAAAAGCTCACTTGGCCCATTGGGCCCAGTGAGCTAATTAAACAGCTGCGCCATGAGCGCATGATACGCCAGTTGTCTTGTGTGTGAATTTTTATGCAATAATCATAAACAGTTTCTGACATACGGCGCAACATGCGAAACCCCCCCCCCCCCCCCCCCCTTTTTTTTTTTTTTACAAAAAACTCAATATCTCTAAAATAAAATTTTGAATCAAAACCAAAAAGTATACAGATCTTTAGATTAATATAACTAAGAAGTGTGTAAAATTTTAAGCAATAATCATAAATCGTTTTTGAGATATGGAGCGACATGTGAAAACCCCCCTTTTTAAAAAAAAAATCAATATCTCTAAAATAAAATTTTGAATCAAAACCAAAAAGTATACAGATCTTTAGATTAATATAACTAAGAAGTGTGTAAAATTTTAAGCAATAATCATAAATCGTTTTTGAGATATGGAGCGACATGTGAAAACCCCCCTTTTTAAAAAAAAATCAATATCTCTAAAATAAAATTTTGAATCAAAACCAAAAAGTATACAGATCTTTAGATTAATATAACTAAGAAGTGTGTAAAATTTTAAGCAATAATCATAAATCGTTTTTGAGATACGGAGCGACATGTGAAAACCCCCCTTTTTAAAAAAAAATCAATATCTCTAAAATAAAATTTTGAATCAAAACCAAAAAGTATACAATCTTAAGATTAGTATAACTAAGAAGTGTGTAAAGTTTTAAGCAATAATCATCAATTGTTTTTGAGATACGGCGCGACATGCAAAAAAAACCACACAACCTGTTTTAGTTACTAAGTCCTGTAACTCAAAAAGTTTTAATCTTATTTTCACCAAAAAGTATACAGATCGTTTGACCATCTTAAGAAACAACTATCTTATTTTTCATGAAAATTTGGATAAGTCGTTCTCAAGTTACGGTGCGACATGTTTACGCCGGACAGACAGACGGACAGAAGACATTTGTATACCATAATACATCCCGTCAAAACTTCGACGGGCGTATAAAAAGCTGATCTTTTAATTGATTATACATGTAGCATGTATAGTATACACCAAACAGACTAAATTATTAAATCTTAATATTGACCAATGAACCATCCAAATCAGATCATGCATGGTCAGATGAACTCTGTCCAGACAGACATCATGGACATGTACAACTTACAATCATTCCATACATCATATATACATGTGTACTTGACATATTGCCTACAAGAAATAAAAGTTAACATTGACCAATGAACCATGGAAATGAGGTCATTGTTCATTCTAAACACCAAATACAGTTGATCTACTCAAGTTCTGCTTACTATATCTGAGAAAAGGACCGACATGTGTTAATCACATAACTTTTACCTTGACAGCTCCATGAAGTAAGGTCAGGTGATCCTGTCTCACAGACATGTACGTGTACATATAAACATTGCAAGGAACCAATATTCCAAATACAGATATCCTAATTTACTCATAATGTAAAAAAAAAAAGAAATTCACAAAGCAAAAAAGCCTAAACTTTTTTTCAAGCAGTCGCTGAACCATTAAAATGTGGTCTAACATGGCCAACCAACATATGGACAGAAACATTATAACAAAAGGCATCTGTATACAATTTATGAAACACCCAAGTCTACTACCCTATGAAATATACATTGTAAAGCTTAATAATACAAATAGTAAAACCCAGCAGCCACTACCATATGCATGGACTTCCCTTTTTTGAAATTGCCTTCAGTATTTTTGTTATTGTTATACCATTTGGACTATTAATACTGTAACAAATGTACATACCAGTTACATATACATGTACTGTAGATATAGGATCTCCTCTACGTCTTATCCCATCATTAATCATATTAATTTCATTGAAACATATCATGTGTATTACTTCCATTCCAATGACATCTGAGGAGCTAACTCTGAAAATTTAAATTCCTGTGATTATCATGTAAAACACCTGAACCTGATGCACTGCTTTCCGTTAAAAAATAAATTGGCAATACAGTTCTCTCTTGGTCATGTTGGTGAATATTTCAAAAAAAATATTTAACAAGAGAGAAAATAAGTGTCAGTTTTTTAAAAATTTATATTACCAATACTGGTAATTAGAATGTCACTAGTTTTCTGATTTGAATTGACATTTATTGTTATTCATTTTTTCAGGATCTTGTACAGCTGACACTACAGTATGGTTTTGTTCATTGTTGTAGGTGATACAGTGACCTAAAATTTCTTACATCCCCTTCATTTTGACTGGCAGAAAGTTTTCTCATTGGCAATCCTACCCATCTCCTTATTTTTAAAATACTAAATATTTTCAATCTGTGACAATAAAATTTTATTGATTTAATATAAAGGTATTCTGACCAACACTATGAGGCAATGTTCAAAACACTCTGTCATTGTCAGCGATCAAATTTATTTTAACTCCAATGGCAATGTATTTGTGCAAGACTCAAAAGTACTGCACATGTACATGATATACCCACATACATGTACATATACAATGTACTTAATAAATCAGTGAGACATAAAATGTAGGTCAACTAGATACGCCCGCAGAGGTCCAACCCTGAACAGCTGGTGCAAAAAAATATACACAATATTCAAGCTTGATTCAGGTCTGAATTTGGATTGTAATTAAATGTTTGGCATATTATAGGTTTCTGAATAAATGTAGTCAAAGAACTTGAAATTGGTTATATGAATTGAATTTATATTCAATTAAAGATTTCTTGCTGTTGTGCAATACTTAGTAAATCTGTTGTCAGACTATAAACAAATAAAGTTCAATTAATTCTCAATGTCATACTAGAAATTTATGAAAATAAAAAGGGAGCTTACATCAATAGATATAAACAATTCACCAAAGTTTCATGAGAATTGGTGACAGCATTTTTGAGTTATTGTCCGAAAACTGGAAAATCACCCCTTTTTTATTGAATAAAACCCCATAACTCAGAAATGTAAAATGTAAAATTTACAAAATTCTAAAGGGAGCTTACATCAATACATACAAACAATTCACCAAAGTTTCATAAGAATTGCTGAAAGCATTTTTGAGTTTTTGTCCGAAAACTGGAAAATCCCCCCTTTGTTTATGAATAAAACCCTGTAACTCGGAAACATAAAATCTAAAATTTATAAAAAACGAAAGGGAGCTCATGTCAATAGATATAAACAATTCACCACAATTTCTTGCAAGTTGGTGAAAGCATTCTTGAGTTATTGTCCGAAAACTGGAAAATCCCCCTTTTTTTAATGAATAAAACCCCATAACTCGGAAACGTAAAATCTAAATTTTATAAAAAACGAAAGGGAGCTCACGTCAATAGATATAAACAATTCACCAAAGTTTTATGCAAATTGGTTAAATCATTTTTGAGTTAATGTCCGACATGTTGACGACGGACAGACGGACAGAGGTATACCATAATACGTCCCGTAAACGGGCGTATAAAAAGATATCATGCTGCATCATAATTTATACAATGCAAGTCATAATCATGTACATGATATTTGAACTTTATAATAGTAAAGGATAGATAGTCTGACCAGTAATAAAGCCACACAAGTGACAACAGTGAGGCCTAAAATAAAATATTGTTTGTTTCCCCAATCCCAAAACTTAGTCAAATATTATTTTATTCATTTCCGATTTTCAGGCTTGCAGGATCATCAGAAAATGTTCAAGCTTTTTGGAAAAATAAAATTATTTCCCTACCTACAAAATGTACCTACCCACACCTGCTTGGCAGGGTCGGGATTGGGGAAACAAACAAAATATTAATTTAGGCCTGAAATATAAGTCCCCCATAGATGCACATACCATTATTGTAGGTCTTTTGTATAAACAATGTATACGTTTAAGGTTACTTAGAATTGGCTGTCGACATACATGTACACATGCCAGTACTGTCATGCATGTTCAGAGTCATTGGACCCTAGGTTACTCCAGTCCATTATCAGTCAACTCCTCTGACCATTTGTTGTAATACAATGTACTGCTGAAAGGGAGAAAACAGTATTTTATTAACAGCATGTAGATGCAAGACTATAAAAAGTATTCAAAGAGTTTTGCAAACAATTAGCTTATATATTTATTGTTTACTAATATTAAACATGTATTATCAAACATCAAAAAGCAATGGATTGAAGTCGCTATTAACATGATTAAGAACAACAAAGAAAAAATAAAGTTAAATTTTTTACCCTTTGGACCTTTATTATGGTCCAATATCAAAAATCTAAATACATGGTTAGATTCAGCATATCAAAGAATCCAAAGAATTCAATTTTTGATGAAATCAATCAAAGTTTAATTTTGGACCCTTTTGACCTCAATGTGGACCAATTTGATAACAGGGCCCAAAAATCAAAAATCTAAATACATGGTTAGATTCAGCATATCAAAGAACCCCCATACATTCAATTTTTTTTTTAAATCAAACTAAGTTTAATTTTGGACCCCAATTTGGACCAACTTGAAAACTGGGCCCAAAATCAAAACTCTAAATACATGTTTAGATTCAGCATATCAATGAACCCCAAGAATTCAATTTTTGTTAAAATCAAACTAAGTTTAATTTTGGACCGAAAAAAAATCCCCCCCCCCCCCCCCCCCCAATTTTTTGAACACCTTTATGATTCATCACCCCCAAACTCAATCCCAGCCTTCCCTTTCTGGTATGGTACCTTGCAGTACAATTTCAGAGAGATCCAGACACTTGAACACAAGTTATTGTCTGGAAACTAGAAAATGCTTATTTTTGGCCCTTATTCCTAATCGTTTAAGGCAATTACCCCCAAACTCAATTCCAGCTTTCCCTTAGTGATATGGAACCTTGTAATACAATTTCAGAAAAATCCATACACTTACACACAAGTTATTGTCATGAAATTAGAAAAATGCTTGTTTTTGCCCCTTTTTTGGCCCCTAATTCCTAAAATTTTGAGGCAATTACCCCCATAATCAATCCCAGCATTCCCTTTGTGATATGGAACCTTGTGGTACAATGTCAAAAAAATGCTTATTTTTGGCCAATTTTTGGCCCCTAATTCCTTAACTGTTGGTACCATAACCCCCAAAATCAATCCCAACCTTCCTTTTGTGGTATTGAACGTTATGGTAAAATTTCATAGAGATCCATTCACTTAAACTAAAGTTATTGTGTGAAAACCAACGTGTCTTTGGACGACAACAACGCCAACGTCATACCAATATACGACTGAAAAATTGTTTGCGGTCGTATAAAAATGTTGCAAATAAGAAATTTTGTCAATTTGTAGTTTTACCAACATTTTAAACATACAGTTTTAGTTTATATCTAATTATTAGTAAAATTGAAATAAATGAACCTTTTGCTTTATTTAAATAGCATGGTTTTTGCCTTTGATGCAATAATTCAGCTATCAATTTGATTTTTGTTGAAAATAAAGGCTCTAAATAATGAACTTTCCTTTCTTATCAGATAATAAAATTTTACTGTTCACCATCAAAACTTTACTGTTTGTGGGTGTTGAAATTAGGGGGGATTAAAATAATAATACTTAAAGAAGTGATTTTTTAAAATAAATAGAGGTCATGGAGGTATGATTCTTAAACAAGTAATTTTCATGTCAATATCCCAGATTCAGTACAAGGTTATCATTTGACATGACTGGACATGCTTTAAACACAGATGTCGGTTCTGGTAATTTTAGCAACATAATTAGTCCATGTATTATACATTTAAAGCTACAATAAAATTAAATCACTCAGTCTAGTGATTTATTTGTACATATACTACTTAAATTGGTGATTATTGAAGAATGACAACTCTTACTTCCAACATTTGTGGACACAATGTCATTTGAATCAGTGATTAAGAAAATCACTCATTTAAGTAAGTCCCCTGAAAGATTAAAAACAGATAAAAAAATACAAGATAAGTTTAATTCCAGCATATTAAAGTACATGTACCCGAAAAATTCAAGACTTTGCATTAAACTTCATTGAAATTGGTCAAGAAATAGGTAACTTGTACAGTGTATTAGAAAAGTATTGTTTAGGTCCCTTAGGCCAGGGTTTTTTTATTTGTTGGTTTACGGATCCGCTGACCCTATTTTTCTGATTTGCAGAATAAAAATAAAATTGACCATTCATGCTTTTTTATTCCCGCTGACCCTTTGCAATTTTTCCATTTATAAAAGGGCATAACTCTAGAACGGTTAAAGTGACGCCACCAAAATTCAAACTTGATCTGTGTTTTGTGGTAATAAGCATTGTGTATAAGTTTCACAACATTTGGTAGAGACAAACTTAAGTAAGAGAATGGAAACTTAAAATTTTGCAATTTTTCCATTTATAAAGGGGCATAACTCTAGAACGGTTAAAGTGACGCCACCAAAATTCCAACTTGATCTATGTTTTGTGGTAATAAGCATTGTGTATAAGTTTCATAACATTTGGTTGAGGCAAACTTAAAGTTAGAGAACGGAAACTAAAAATTTTGCAATTTTTCCATTTATAAAGGGGCATAACTCAGTGTTCTAGCCAGGATTTGAAAAGGGCAGGGTGCTAGTCAGAAAAAGGGCAATTTTACACGTAAATGTCATTGTAAAAAGGGCAATTTAACGTGTAATTTTCATTGAAAGAAGGGCAATTGATTAAGCCTCATAATTAATTAGCATATAACTTAGGCACTATGGTAAAATCAAGTTTCAGTTAAAATGGAGTAATATAATTCAATACTTTTGGCAAAAATTTTTATGGTTTATTTCAAAGTTCATGATGTTGAGACACTCTTTAGCATCTTTAGTTTAGTATATAGGGAACTTAAACTTATATTTAACACAATATACATTTATTTCCAGTGACAAAGGGAGATATGAAGATTTGTTCACCCAAGAATATTCATAATTCATGAGGGCTCTGCTTTTCGTCCTGTTTCTAAAGCTTATACAAATAAATTATATATTTTCCGACAATGTACATATATTGTATATTTATGTTTATAACAGCTGAGCAATAATAATTCATGGAACTAGAATTAAAGCGATGACAAGATAGCAAACCAAACATTTTGTTAGTAAGGTGAAATATATTTTTTCTGTCTTGAAAGATATTTTTTTTCTTTTTATTCTCGACCGACCGACTCGACTTTTTCATGTGTAAAATGTGCAAACCAACAAATTAAAAAACCCTGGCCTAACCATGCTAACTCCTGAATGGTTAAGGCCATAACCCTCCAAAATCGATCCCAACCTTCCTTTTTTTGGTATGAACCTTGAGGTTCAATTTCATAGAGATCCATAGAAATGTATGGGATTTGCTAATAATTGAAGGCCGTACCGTGACCTGTAGTTATTTACTTCTATGTCATTTGATCTAGTATGGAGAGTTGTCTAATTGGCAATTATACCACATCTCCTTATTTTTATATTATATTCAAATTAATGTATGGAAACCAGAAAATCCTTGTTTTTGGGCCCTAAATTCATTATTGTACATGCAACTTGTCATGGTAAAACTATACATGTACAACAATCATGATTCATGACAATTACCAAATCAATATCTCCAAGTATAACAAACAAAGAAAGTGAAAAACAGATTATTTGCCTGAATTTTTTAAGTCCAAGGACCATAGCTATGCAAAGAAAAACATCTCACCAGAATAAATATTGAACTTGATCTGTAAATTTGTCATGGTAAAACTATATACAATGTATAAATATCAAATCAATATTTTCAAGCATTACTTAAAGTCCCCTTGGCTTTGCTGGTAGGGGACTAATAAACATTTTAATATTTGTTATCATGGTTTTATCTATTTCAATCATGCATGTATGTTTTTCAATTTTCAGAAATAATTGTTTTTTTAAAAGTTGCATGTAAATTCTCAAAGTATAACCTGTGTCGAAAAGTTGGTTATACAACTTCAACTAAAGTGTGTATCCTTGTGTTTGTGCTGTGTTGTTGAGTGTATTAGTTTCAGGTCGTGCCTTTCACTCGTACACAGTGTCACTGATTACAGTGTTACGTGATTACCCTAGAAAAGAACTGGTAGCCTGATTGAGGGAGTCCTGGTGTAGTCTGAACTAAGTCTTGCCAGTGAACATAAACACAAAGTTGATTAAAAGTTCAATACTCATTACTGAATTATTCAAAATCCAAAGTAACAGTAATATAAGTTTACAACATCTAAACTGCAGGCTCAACAATACAGTGGCATAATCTTAAATCTCTGAAGTACATTTCTTTCGTACACAAAATCGTAACTCCTTCTCTACAGCTATTTCTCTCTTTTATACCTCTATTTGCCCTAGTAACCTGATTACAATATGGTTAAATGACTCTGAACAAAGAAAAAATCAACCAGAGCTAGGGCTACAGGAGCCCGGAGCTGAGCAGGCTGAGGTCAATTCATAGAATCATACATCATTTTTTCAAACCATCAGTTGGATGACGAAGATGGAATTTTTTCTTCGAGTTTTCTTGTTTTGTATCAACTTTTGAGTATACATGTGTGTGTCTAATGAGTGTTTATTTTAAACGGAGTTTTACAACTGTGAACTGATCATCAGGTCAAAAGTTGAAAAAACATTTTCACTATTTCTGTTTATTTCCGCACTATTAAATCATTTATTTGAGTTACCTGTTTTATTTCCTCGAGTTTCTATGCGTTCATAACTCCTTGATTGTGTTTGTCTAGTTAAATAAACAGAAACAAGTACTTGTTCAAGTTGTTGTCAGTTGGTTACCGGCGTCTTCAATTTGCATCATTCATCTGAATCTTTCAAGCGTTTTAAAAACCGACCTCCGGTCCCAGATATCGTCACGAAGAATAGTTATCCATGTGCAAATAGTACATGCTGGTTTCCCCATTCAATGGTCTATTATAGACCAATATCCAATGTTTCTTAGCATAATCAGCATCCCGACTTTACTGACTCAATTCATTTTTAAAATGATATTTACTGCTTAAAGTCCTGACTAAGTAAGACATATAAATGAACAAATAACAAATTCTTTTGTTTACAAGCATCATTTACATAGGAGCACCCCTTTAGTAGAGCATTAAGTTTAACCCTTAAAACTATTTGATATATTTTAATATAATATAAACTATATTGTTAGATATAATTTCAATGAAGTTATTTCATTTAGTTGAAGAATATATATGTTTAATCCAATTAACAGCCTGTCTAATTGGCAATTATACCCTCACATTTATTACAGCTAAATAATATAAGATCGAGACATTATTTAGTATATATGCCTCTGGTAATAATTTAATGTCAATCAATAATTTTCGATAACATACATAGCACATTAATGCATTTGCCTGGGACACTATATAGGACTTAAAATATGTTTATTATCTATACATTTTAAAAGATAATTAAAAATATTTGAAAATTATACAGCATTTTTAGGTGTAAAATTCCTGGTTTTACATGTTTCAAGACTGTAGTTTTTTTTTTAATAAATAATATCAGATCTATCAAAGTTGTAAATTTAACCAACCATTCGCTATAAATTAACAAATTATTTCAGACAATCCTGTCATGCTTCAGTGATTCCCTATATAATCAACCAAAATTTTTCCCACAAAGGGGGGGGGGGGGGGGGGCAGATGATATATGTGGTTACCCCAACTACCCTACTTTTTAGTCTTAATAATAGCCTACCCTAAAGATTTTTTGTCATTTTTCATTAAGCACTGTTAAGTCAGAATGTTACTCCCATAGACTCAATGTAAAAAAAAAACGCAACATAAAATTTAAATAAATCCCTACCTAGTTACTACTGAAATTATAAAATTAATATTTAGTTTAAAATTTTTCCCATTGATTGACAAACCCTGACAACTCATTAACTCAAAAGGAAAAATTGAGAAATCTTGATCATTATAAAAAGGTTTATGAAATATTTTGAAGTGTACCAACACATAAATTGCAATCCAGTTGATACACATGCAATCCCTGAGAGAAGATATTTTCTTTTTTCTTTCCTTTTTTTAGATGAGGGAGTAGTTAGCATTTACCGCTTTTGTAATACACATTAAATCAAACATTTTTCATATTTCTGATAGCAAAGCAGTTTTAAAAATATACTGCACCTCCAATATGTTTACTTTGATAAACATTCAATTTTACATTTATTGACAACATTTGGCCCAATAAAATTCTTTTCAGCACACTTACTTATTTTTATTCATATGTCCTATTGTTAATCTTATGTGTGGTTCAAAGCTCAAAATTGTACTTGACTTATAAGTTTGAGGAAAAGTTTAATACACAGCAAAAAAGGGAGATAACTCAGGTTTTGAAGTGATTTTTTTCTTTGCAATTATGGAAAGTAAAGAATCTTAATTACAGTAACAGGAATCTATTTCAAAAGCTGGAGTTACCTCCCATATTTTATAAGAGTACAAAAATAAAGGAAACTTTAAATGTGTGAAAGAAATTAAGTTTACTGATAAATAAAAATAGAAATATTACTGATATAAATCAATATTAGCCCATCAATATATTCTAGGTATCTTAGGAATTTGAAATCAAAGATACAAATTCTATCCTTATATTGCTCTACTAGAGATAAATATAAACAGTGATAGAAAATACAACTCAAAACCAACACTGATCTTTTTGTAGTTGCATCTAATCCACTATCAAGGGAGATAATTCATGCGAAATAAAAAGATAAATATTAATCATTTGATGGTTATATGTCCCCCTTTTATGTAAATTATATTAAAGTGCTAGTAAAAATGTTCTCCTGAGTAAGTTTTAAAATGTTTATTGTGAAATTTTGTTAGAATTTGTTAATTTTTGTATTTCAAACAAATAAAATATCTATATTCTTATTCTAATTCCTCTTCAATAATTATTTTTACATTTTGGCGATTATGTCAAAATGGCAATAATTAGTGCACACACTTAATTATTTTAAACAGTGATTTTATCTTGTGCAAAACCAACCACGTAAGCACATTATATAAAAAATTAGCCTCAGTCAGATCAAATGAATTTCACGTGAATTTCACGTTAGTCAGATCATGTGAAATTCACGTGAGTCAAATCATGTGAATTTCATGTGAGTGAGATCACGTGAATTTCACATGAAAAAAAGTTTATGTGAAATTCACATGAATTTCACATGAGTTTCACGTTAACAAGTTCATGTTAAATTCACGTAAGTCAGATCATGTGAATTTCACGTGAATTTCATGTGAATTTCACGTGAAAACTGTTCACGTGAAATTCACATGAAAAATTCACGTGATATTCACGTGAGCAAAAATTCACGTGAAATTCATGTGAAACTCACGTGAATTTTACGTGACTTTCACGTGAAATGAGACTCACGTGAAATTCACGTGAACAAAATTTGCCTGTGTATAGCCTTGGGTTTTTCTCCATAACATCCTGAGTTCTAGTTCACTCTGGACCACTGATATGACACTGTAGTCTCCATAACATACCTGAGTTCTAGTTCCCTCTGGACCACTGATATGACACTGAATGTATGTGTTAAACACTTCTATAGCCTTTGGTTTCAGAGAATCAACACTAATATCCTTCATTTTATTTACTAACTCCATCCAGGATTCAAGCATGAATTCATAAGCTTCCATATAAACAGTGTCATCCTTATGTAGCTAACAAATAAAACATAATTCATTACATTTTGTATCAAGAAATACCAAAATCTAATGTGATACATTGTTGTGGAATAACTACTTTTTTATTTTATAGGTAATCAACATACCAAATTAATGTTGGAGACCTTACAAAAACATTTTAGAGAAATATCATAATTACTGCAAGGTTCTCCGAACTATGATTACTTTTTGTTATTGGACGCTGTGGGTTGGATACTGTTCTGTTCAAAATGAAAGACTTGAAAATTGGTATTTGCTGCTGCTACAAAATACTGGTCTGCTCGGAGTCAGAATAATGTGTCTGGTTAGGTAGGAATGTCATCCTGTGGACTGTTGTGATAACAGCACCTGATAAATCCGTCTCAGCGAGTCGGTATAGCACAAAGCATGGTACATATTCATATCATATTAACATGTTTTCGTCCTGATACGGCTGTAACATTTGTACTATTCCTTCCTTTGTATGAAGCAGACTAAGAAACTAAAACAATAAGTTCATTAAAATAGCCAGACAGAACCTTAAAATTTGTTCAACTGGTCATAAGAAGTATTATTTATACTTACTGCCTCCTCCATTGTAGCTGATCTCCCCATTGTACACGTCTGCTGTGTAAGGTTGTGTAGAAAGCTTTCCATCATTTCAGAGGGCACACTCATAAAGGTGGCAGCAGAGAAAGTATTAACCACATTTTTAAATGTGTTGGCTATACCTAGGTTCTCAAAATCCTGTAGCTCAATACTGTAATAAAATGTACTAGTAACATTTTAAGTTATCTTGAATAGGTTTACATATACACACCCTATTATCAGCTATTAGAACTCAGGAACACAGAATGATGAATGTTTTCCAGAATGACAGGTCGATAAACCTATTCGCATTTTCTTTTGTTTATATTACTTCTATGGTAATATTTTATGTTTCACATATTGTTAATACAATAGGCCATGTGTTTTTTTCTCAAAATGAGGTTAGAACTTCACATATTACCAAAAATATCAATAAATCAAGTTGAGCATTCACTTGTTTTTAAGAAAATTTTGTCAATGATTGAGATGAAAAACAGTTTAATCCAGAAAAATTTTCTTTAAAGCTTGCTTTATTGTACAGACCAAATGACTATTGATGAATACCATATGTTGCCTTCTAGATATATTATGGCTATTGGTTAGTTGGGTTGTTGTCTCATTGCTATACACATCATATCTTCTTCTATTAGGTATCTCTGTGTTGCCATATTTTATTTTATTTTGAGTTAAATATTTTGTCACCCTTTACGAAATTAAATTTTACCTGGCCAACATGGGAAGAAATGCTCCTAACAAAAAAGCTAAATACTGGCACTTAGATTTGTCATCAGGAAATACTGGTCCATTTAATGAAGCTAACTGGGATATACATTGTAAACAATGATTGGCCATATCAGAATTGTAACGGACTCTCTTATATATCTGAAACAATAGTTGCACAAATTTCTTTTCTTGTTGGAATGAAAAAAATCAACATATTAAAATGTATTTGTAAGATGTTCCATTGTTATAATATGACAAATTGATGGACTTAAAAGTCTGAAGATGTTATATTTTTCATAACCTCATTTATATCAGTGTGCTCTTGTTTTTTAATCTATCACTGAAGTTTTCATTTCCATTTATGTACAAACATCTGAAGAAACAAATTGAAATAATTTCATAATATTTATTTGATAGACCACAATGTATTTTTTGTCCATAGCAGAGAACAAATTCTCCTAAAATTACGAAATACTGTGGATTCATTATTATTCGTTGGATACCAATTTCCGTGGATTTCGTGGGTACAGGTAAACCACGAAATTAAATGTTCAACGAATTACACATTTTCAATAAGGGTTTATGAAGACTTTTGCAAAACCACGAAATCAAATATCCACAAAAATGCAAGTTTTCCGCAATCCACGAAAATTGGTACCCACGAAAATAAGTGAATCCACAGTATCTTAATTATTTATAGAAATAACTCCCACAGGATGTATAAAGTAAAATCCATAGAATTTACAAATACATGCATATATTTCAAATTTTCCTATCCAAACTATGTTAGCCAATAATTGAATACTGAAAACAAGACTTTCAACCCTTCCGGAACACCTGAGATCATCCCCTGTTTTCAGTGGGGTTCATGTTACTCGGTCTTTAGTTTTCTATGTTGTGTTTTGTGTACTGTTGTTTGTCTGTTGGTCTTTTTCTATTTTATCCATAGTGTTGTGAGTTTATTTTCGACTTATGAGTTTGAATGTCCCTTTGGTATATTTCGCCTCTCTTTTTTCACCGATGTACCAACATGTCCAGAGAAATTTTGAGGGCACAATAACAAATTTTCTTAAAATATATTTGACTATGACACACTTTTTTTTAATTAAAGAAAGCAATCTTTGTCTTCACAAGAAAATGGTTGAAAATGACATATTGATAATCCAATTTTTTTTTACATTAAATGTACGTACCTTAAAGAACAATTCTACAACAGATTTATCTAACAGTGTATCCCTCCAATTCTCATTGGGTTTCAATGGTACATTCTGGTTCATTTCAAATGAACCAATATGTCTTCGGACTTTACAAATTCAGTTAAAGAAACTACAACTATTTATATGTTTTATTAGGATCTATAATAACACATTTTAATAATTATGTAGGAGGATACAATTGGCTATTCCTATTAAAAGTACAATAATTTTTATCGTCATTTTTGGCATATGCTTGCAATATAAGAAACATTCATAACTATTGTTTACAAAAACAACTTGAATGCTGAAAGAATAGCAAAGTACTTTTATCTTGGTTTGGTATGTGCATAGTTTGAAATAAATCTCTATAAAAACCTTTAAGTGTATGAGTTCCTACAAGAAGGTATTAATATTAATGACTAATGGTTGCACTTTAATGGTTTTCAGTTTTCTTTAAAACACCAAATAATTATGATAGAAGGGAGTATTGGCCATGCAAAAAACTTTCAGAAAAATGTATAAGACCTATTCCTCATAATGTTATCCCCATTTCTGTTATTTTATATCTTTAAGTAATTGAGCAAGGCCATATTTCTAGTAATGAATCACTTCTCATTTTTCTTTTTCCTACTCTGTCATTTTCATGAAGGATACAGACTTTGGGGGTGAATTCCCAGCATAATACATGTTCTGATATTGACAATAGTCGGTTTAGTACTGCAGTTGCCTCCCTTGTTAGTGGTTCTGGTTGTCTCTCAAGTTCATTCATTACTTGTAAAGCAAACTGGAAAACTCTCTTCAAGTCCTTCTCCTGAAATTAAGTAAAATGATTAATTTTTCATAAATGAAATATACATGTACTTTAATTAAATCGTGATATGGTCTGTTATACTGAGCTCTACTTTTGGCCATTCCCCTTATCCCTCTTTAAGTATTGTTAATTTTTTTGGTCATTCTTAATATTGGAAATTCTAATATGACGTTCTTCAAACGCTTTGAGTACACACCCGTGGTAAAATATGAAAATATTGTATGTCAACTGATCGGCAACGTCATGATTTGTTTAGGCTGTTTCGATCATACTCCCATGTCATATGCTTTTTTATGAATGAGCTACAAGGCGTCAATTGGTGTAAATGACGTCATTGAACAACTAGAGGCTCTCAAGAGCCTGTGTCGCTCACCTGATTCTACTTTGATTTTTGAAATCATGTAAAAATAGATTAAAATCATAACATTGTTTATGATACCCTAATAATGAGTGAGGCCAAATTTGGTTTAATATTGGTCCTGTAATATAATAAAAAAATCCTGGTGGCCATCTTTAACAAGTAAATCGGCAACAAAGTAGCAACACTTCATCAGCACCTCATAAGAAACATTGATGCCATGTTTGGTTTCATTCCATTCAGTGCACTTCTAAAAGAAGCATTTGTATGTATTTCCCATAGGGTCTTATGTTAAAGGAAGTCCCCCCGCTGGCGGCCATCGTGGATGAAAGATCAGCTTCAAAGTAACAACACTTAGTCAGCACCTCATAAGGAACATTCATGCTATGTTTGGGTTCAATATATTCAGTACGTGGCTCTCTAAAAGAAGACATTTGTATGTATTGTCCATAGGGTCCTTTGTTAAACATTGTCCCCCACTGGCAGCCATCTTGGATGATGGATTGGCTTCAAAGTAACAACACTTGGTCAGCACTTCAAAAGAAACATTCATGCCATGTTTGGTTTCATTCCATTCAGTGGTTCTCTAAAAGAAGACATTTGTATGTATTTCCCGTAGGGTCCTATGTTAAACTAAGTCCCCCGCTAGCGGCCATCTTGGATGATGGATCGGCTTCAAAGTAACAACACTTGGTCAGCACCTGATAAGGAACATTCATGTCATGTTTGGTTTCATTCCATTTAGTGGTTCTCTAAAAGAAGACATTTGTAAATATTTCCCATAGGGTCCTATGTTAAACTAAGTCCTCCACTGGCGGCCATCTTGGATGATGGATCGGCTTCAAAGTAACAACACTTGGTCAGCACCTCATAAGGAACATTCATGCCATGTTTGGTTTCTTTCCATTTAGTGGTTCTCTAAAAGAAGACATTTGTATGTATTTCCCATAGGGTCCTATGTTAAACTAAGTCCACCGCTGGCGGCCATCTTGGATGATGGATCGGCTTCAAAGTAACAACACTTGGTCAGCACCTCATAAGGAACATTCATGCCATGTTTGGTTTCATTCCATTCAGTGGTTCTCTAGAAGAAGTTCAAAATGTAAATAGTTAACGACGACGACGACGGACGACAAGTGATGAGAAAAGCTCACTTGGCCCTTCAGGCCAGGTGAGCTAATAATGTAAGAGTATAAGCATTTTACGGGAAACTGCATGGTTGTGAAATTGAAAGTCATCAAAACAAGGAAACATAAACAAACGATGATAAAATTTGTTAAAAGCCAATTTTTTTACATATAAGTAAGACTATCATTTAAATTCATCCAAACCTATCTAAGTACGTTATTGTAAATAGTTTTAAGCATGTCACTAGTTCACTTTTCTCAGTTATTTTATGTCTATATTAATAGTGTTTTAATTACGGGAGCTGCAAATGTTTGCCTTCACTGAGAGCACTTCGATTCCATATGAATTGCTGTATTTGTCCTATTAGAATAGAAATAATTCATGGGGGCTTGTGGTAAAATCAGTATAAATTCAAGCCCCCATGAAATATTTCTTAAATATTCCACCAAACAAACATTCAATTAAAAGAATGTCATTTGTATATCTTTATCATTTCCTGGAAATTTTGTAATATGTAAAGTTCTGCCAAGTCATCTTTTGTGAGCACATTATTTGTAGGAAGCTGAAGCCTGTTACTACTGATTATGCTTTTATCAATATTATTACCTCAAAGGCTCTTTTGCACTTGGCATGAAATTCCCATGTAAAACCCACACTACTGGTCCTACTGGAACTAGAGTATTCATTTAGTAAAGCTGTCAGCATAGAACAAGCAACCAATTGCTGAAAAAATCATATTTTTGTAGAAATTCATATGTTTAAACAAAAACACATAAATAATATCAGTCATAAAAAAATCCCTTTTCAAGACATCTTATTTACTTCAGTAAAATCATGTGCAAATTAAATATAAGAGACTGATCCTGCAATGAAAACATTTTGTCTTGTCAAAAGGGCTGAGTTCTTAAAAGATATAGCAATTTGATAAAGTTAATCATTGTTAATTTGGTTGAATTATATTTAAATTTTAGGTATTTTGATAAATGTCATCCACTGGATGAAACAACTGGACAGGGATTTTCTTAACAATTATTTTTCACATTAATAACTATGGTAAAATAGCTTATTTTTTAAGTATTTTGTGTTGTCAGGTTGCTCTCCATTGACTTTACCAACAACCCCTTTACTTATATAACTACTAGTCAGTAACATTACTCACCATATTTACATTACCACTAACCACCAGGGTGACCTCCAGTCACATGACTCACCATATTAACATTACCACTAACCACCAGATTGGTGACCTCCAATCACATGACTCACCATAGTTACATTACCACTAGCCACCAGATTGGTGACCTCCAGTCATATAACTCACCATAGTAACATTACCACTAGCCACCAGATTGGTGACATCTAGTCACATGACTCACCATAGTAACATTACCACTGGCCACCAGATTGGTGACCTCTAGTCATATGACTTACCATAGAAAAATTACCAGATACCAGATTGGTGACCTCAAGTCACATGACTCAACATAGTAACATTACCATTAGCCACCAGATTAGTGAAGTCCAGTCACATGACTCACCATAGTAACATTACCACTAGCCACCAGATTAGTGACCTCCAGTCACATGACTTACCATAGTATCATTACCGTTAGCCACCAGATAAGTGACCTCTAGTCACATGAATAACCATAGAAAAATTACCACTAGCCACCAGATTAGTAACCTCCACTCACACAACTCAACACAGTAATACTACCATTAGCCAATACATTGGTGACCTCTGGTCACATGACTCACCATAGTGACATTACCACTAGCCACCAGATTAGTGACATCTTGGAAAAGACTGTCACAGCTTGCTCCTTTAATGTCTATGGTTCCTCTCTTCAGTATGACAGCTACTGTCTGTAAAATCTGTTCTCTTGCATAACTCTGCAATCTGTAATTAAATGTTATACAATTCATGCTTGGTCTGCTACATTCTAAGAACCACAAAATTTTAACTTTTAGTAAAAAAACAAAGACATTTTATTATAATCAAATGAGACTGTTCTTCCATGTCATATGAAATGCAAGATTACAGTTAAAACTCTAAAGAGACTTTTTACTTTCAGTTCTTACAATAATATTTGTAATGATTAACAGCCTTGAGCTGTCCCTGTAATGACACTTGTAACTGTTATAAATACTTTTTTTTAGTTTGTGAATAGCAGATTTAGGTATGAATAAATATGTAAGGTAAGGTTTTATAAGTTCAAAGGGTAAATAAGTAGTGCAAAACTTGGATAATACTTATAATCTTAAGTTACAAATGTATAATGTATTGAAAACCAGTAAAAAAAATATTCATTTAAATGTATATCACATCTTAAGACTGTTTATTGTTGCTTATTTGTAATTTGTATTACAAGATGGGAGTGTCATTTTGTCAATGACAATTTCATCCAGGAACTAATTTGTGTATGAAAAAAACTGAACAAAACACTATAATTTCTCTAAGAAAATATTGTAAAAGTCTTACGAAATATGCTGTGTAATAAAATGTAAAAGAAATGAACGTAGAGCCTCAATATCAGTAGCCTCCAGTAATGCCCATTCTCTTATCACACTTTCTTTGATTGTTGTTGCTGCTTGGAACAGGACATAGTCACATTTACTGTTTTCTAAAAATAAAATAATGAAAATTAACAAAACATAACTAGTGTATTAAGATATCAAAACATGGTATTACTCTGGTTCAAATAAAGAAAATTGTGAAGTGAGAATTTCATTGTTTCCAATTATAAAAAAAGTTTAAAATGAAATATGTATGTTTGTATGTATGGATAGTCAAGTGCAATAACACTTTTAGACACACACTTAATCAGCTATATAATATATGAAGACAGACAGCAATTGAAACTGGAAAATTTGATTTAATCTGAACATATCTTGAAATGACTTACCTAAAATATACTTGCATATATTGTATGGCAACTTAGTTTTCCTGAATTCTAGTATTACATGCTCTGCTGCAATTCTCTGTTCTGGTGTTACAATATTTGGTGCAGCCTTAAAAATAAATCATGGCTGTAATTAATGAAGATTCTATGTCCCAATGTCATTACATATATACTGTAAATTCAGAAATTATTGAGTGTATTGATTGAAAAACAGACAAAAATGCTAGATTAATTCTTGGGATTTTGGGAAAAGCTGCATACACATATATTTATCAGATATTGGAATGCTAGTTCTTATTATTGCGATACTCACCAAGTCTCATTATTCACATTAATAAAAACCTCGCTATAATTTCTGAATTTACAGTATTGGTTGTGAATCATGACAAAATTGCAGGTCTCCACATATAAACATAGTAAAGAAAATGAGCACAAAAAAAAGCACGTACGTATATTGTAACAAAAATTATGGATACTCAATTGATTCGGCTGAAAAGTTGATGCATACATGTAACATATAAGTAAGTGAAATAGTGATTTTTGTCGAGCTTTTCTTTCAAAACATTGACATTTACATGTTTACATCACAAATAGGTCAAAAATATAGATTTTGGTGAAAGTTGACAAATACTTCTAGATTTAGGCTTAGAATCATAGATTGCAGGGTTGGACAAACAATATATTGATTATTCATGTCCGATTGGATATTTGTTATAACAAACAAAATGTAAAAATTCTTTTGAAACATCTTCTATGTTTGTGGTCCTCATATTGATAACTAATGAAAATTGGCCTGCTTGCATTGAAATTTATTTTTATTCATTTTACTATATATTCTGATGGTATTGCAATTGGCCTTCTAATACTGTAAACCAACTTTATTTTTGTGAATACTTTTTTTCGCGTTTAGCCCTTACAAGCCCATTTCGCGGCTATTTAATTTCCGATTTTGAAATTCGCTTGATGTAGTTAAATAAGGAAAGATCCAAGTTTTACATATTCGTGTTATTTTTCTACTCGCGAAAGTCACAAACTATAAATCACTCGCGAAAATGAGTTGGTTTACAGTAATGAACATAGTGATCAATGTCAGATATGTTTGTCCTGGATAATGATAAGTGTCCATAATTTCAAACGTCTTAGTAATGCATTGTTGTAGAGAAACATAATGCTTGGTCTCTGTAGATAGTGCTGTTAATAAAAAATTTGTAAGGGGTTCCATGGAACCCTGTGTCTCGCCTGCAATTACTGCTGTCAGTGTTTTGTTGACTTAAAAAGTAAAGTACAGAATTTAAAAAAACAATCAAACTTTTTCTTTAGATGCTATTTCTTGATCTTGAAGATTAGCTTCTGTCCAAGTTCCATAACATTCCATGAAGGTTTACAAATTTATCATGTCAAATTTTTTTTATCCCAGACTGTCTTTTAATGTTTACTGTAAAAAACAAAGTCCATCTATCAGAAAAATACTGAAAAGAAAAAAATATATTTTCAAAAGTTTGCTTCAGACATTATCTCTTAATCATAAAAAAGCTTCTGCCAAAGGTTCATAAAATTCTACAAAGGATTCGCAAAGTAATAAAAGTAAACCTTAACCCCAGACTGTATCTACTTGTAACTGTAAAGGAAAGTAAGTCCATTTATCTATTTAAAATAAGGAAAAATGAAAATAAATATTTTCCAAAGTTTGCTCTGGATACTGTCTTTTGGTCATAAACAAACTTCTGTCCAAATTTCATAAAATTCCATGAAGGTTTGACAAAGTTATTGATGACTGAAAAACCTCAAACTCAGACTGCATCTGAAAGTTAGCTGTAAATAAAATGCTCCGCAGGGCGCAGCTTGATACGACCGCAGAGGTCAAACCCTGAACAGTTGGGGCAAGTATGGATACAACATTCAAGCTTGATACAGCTTTGCATTTGGATTGTGATTAAATATTTGACACAGCATAGGTTTCTGACACAGAATGAATGTGGTCTAAGAACTTAAAAATTTTAAATTGGACATTCACCTACATTTTGTATTATGGTCCAATATCCAAAATCTAAATACATGGTTAGATTCAGCATATCAAAGAACCCCAAGAATTCAATTTTTGATGAAATCAAACAAAGTTTAATTTTGGACCCTTTTGACCTCAATGTGGACAAAGTTGATAATGGGGCCCAAAAATCAAAAATCTAAATACATGGTTAGATTCAGCATATCAAAGAACCCCATATATTCAATTTTTGTTGAAATCAAACAAAGTTTAATTTTGGACCCCGATTTGGACCAACTTGAAAACTGGGCTCATAATCAAAAATCTAAATACATGTTTAGATTCAGCATATCAAAGAACCCTAAGAATTCAATTTTTGTTAAAATCAAACTAAGTTTAATTTTGGACCCTTTGGACATTAATGTAGACCAATTTGAAAACGGAACCAAAAATTAAGAATCTAAATACACGGTTAGATTCGGCATATCAAAGAACCCCAATAATTCAATTTTTGATGAAATCAAACAAAGTTTAATTTTGGACCCTTTGGACCTCAATGCGGACCAATTTAAAAACGGGGCCCAAAATCCAAAAACTAAATACACGGTTAGATTCAGCATATTAAAGAACCCCAAGAATTCAAGAATAAAACCCCATTGAAATTGGTCAAGAAATAAGCAATTTATACGAAGTATCTTCTTTTGCACAATACTGTGCAATTAAATATTTCTTGCTATTGTGCAATACTGTACAATTGACAATTTCTTGCTATTGCGCAATATTGTGCTATTGGATATTTCTTGCTATTGCGCAATACTGTGTAATTGAAGATTTCTTGCTATTGCGCAATACTGTGCAATTGAAGATTTCTTGCTATTGTGCAATACTGTGCAATTGAAAATTTCTTGCTATTGCACAATACTTATTATATAATAATTTACACATCCTGTTTGGTGTGTATCTCCTACCATATCATTATTATTTGCTTTTAAATATAAATCAGAAATAACCAACTTAAAATGGAAAATTTTAAAAGAAAAAAAAAAGGAAACCCCCCCCCCCCCAATTTTTTGAACCCCCTTATGATTCATCACCCCCAAACTTAATCCCAGCCTTCCCTTTGTGGTATGGTACCTTGCAGTACAATTTCAGAGAGATCCATACACTTGAACACAAGTTATTGTCTGGAAACTAGGAAAATGTGTTTTTTGGCCCCTTTTTGGCCCCAAATTCCTAAACATTTAGGGCAATTACCCCCAAACTCAAACCCAGCTTTCCCTTTGTGATATGGAACCTTGTAGTACAATTTCAGAAAGATCCATACACTTACACACAAGTTATTGTCCTGAAACTAGAAAAATGCTTGTTTTTTGCCCCTTTTTGGCCCCTAATTCCTAAAATATGGAGGCAATTACCCCCAAACTCAATTCCAGCTTTCCCTTTGTGATATGGAACCTTGTAGTACAATTTCAGAAAGATCCATACACTTACACACAAGTTATTGTCATGAAACTAGAAAAATGCTTGTTTTTTGCCCCTTTTTTGGCCCCTAATTCCTAAAATTTTGAGGAAATTACCCCCAAAATCAATCCCAGCATTCCTTTTGTGATATGGAACCTTGTGGTACAATGTCAGAGAGATCCATACACTAACACACAAGTTATGTCTGGAAGTTACAAAAAAAGCTTATTTTTGGCCCCTAATTCCTTTACTGTTGGTACCATAACCCCCAAAATCAATCCCAACCTTCCTTTTGTGGTATTGAACCTTGTGGTAAAATTTCATAGAGATCCATTCACTTAAACTAAAGTTAGAGTGCGAAAACCAATGTGTCTTCGGACGACGCCGGACGACGCCAGACGACGACGACGACGACGCCAACGTCATACCAATATACGACCACAAAAATTTTTTTGCGGTCGTATAAAAACTGTTGACACAGAGATATGTCTCGCCTGTCAGCATTAAATCCAGAAATAGACAATCTGATAGACAGCAACATTGCTTATTAATTCAAAGTCGCTCGACCATGATCTTCCCCAATAACTGACCTAATCACAAACTAATACATGTAAACTAAGCAGAAGTTTCAAAGTCAATAGACCATGTCTGAAGGGGCAGGGCCAAACCATCTACATGGAAATGAGATGTGCCAATGCTTATATAACTGCATACCAAATATCATTGACCTATTCATAGTGGTTCCCTATAAACTTATAAACTGACCTAATCACAAACTAATACATGTCAACTATGCAAAAGTTTCAAAGTCAATAGACCATGACTGAGGAGGCGGGTCCAAATAATTTTTATGGAAATGAGATTTGCCAATCCTAATACAACTGTATACCAAATTTCATTGACCTACCACAAGTGGTTCCCCACAAAACTGACCTAATCACAAACTAATACATTGTTGATGTCGCCACCGACGCCACCGCTGGAAACAGCATACATATGTCTTGCTTATTGACTCTGTCAAGGCGAGACAAAAACTTTAAACACAGACTGAACCTAAATGTTGACACCGCCGATGCCAGAATCCAGGATCACTATGTCTCACTTTTGCGACATAATTGTCACAGGCTTGACGAAAACTAATATGTTCCAATAAAGCTCATCAAAAACAAATCAAGAGTTTTACAAAATTTTAGGAGGTGACTTGAGAATATTTTCTTGGTAAAAATGGGATGGAGGGCAAACTTGGATTGAAGTAGAAGACTGTGACAGTAAACCTGTCTTCCAAATAAAGCTGCAATATTTTGTCACAGTACAGTCATATTAAGCACTGATTTTAAAGAAAAAAATTTGAACTATGTCAAATAAAAAAGTCACAAGTTTGTGTGACAAACCAGCTTCTGTGTGTTTCATAGCGATAAAATCTTTTGTTGATTTTGATGGGTATTTTTTTTTTAGTCATGCAGAATGTGTAAAAATCAACAACTGTAAGTTTGGTAAAATCTTTGAGATGCCCTCGGGTTACAAATGTATTGGAATGATCAATATGGACATTAGACAGCTACACAACCATAGGTGTTTTAAACAGCTTAACTGAGTGGACAGTATCAAATACAATTCCGATGTTTATCTTATTTACCATCTTCAGCTGTGATGAAATAAAAATACCCATCAAAATCCAAAAAAGATTTTCTTTCCAAAATACAAAATTTTAAAATTTTAACATTACAGAATTTTGGGTCCTCAATGCTCTTCGACTTCAGACTTTATTTGGAATTTTTTACTTTTTTGATTTGGAGCGTCACTGATGACTCTTTGTAGACGAAACGTGCATCTAACGTAAAAAAAAATTAATCCTAGTATCTATGATGAACTTATTTATCTTTCAAATGGACTCTAGGCCTTAAAATTTTTCAACTGCACAAGTTTGTCTGTACTTAATTAAGGAGGTGTAAATGGGTCCAATATTTATCCAAAGTAACCTAAGTTACACTTAAACACTTAATAAAAAATCTTAATAGCTTAGGAATAGTATTCAAACATATTAAAAATTAAATGTTAATGATTTATACTTGTTTTAAATGAAATTGCTACTATGCTTCTGAAAACTGTCTACAGAACTAAGAGGTCAAGAACCTTAACTCTTTTTTGTTATTACATGATACCAATGTCCCCACTTGTGCTTAGCATTGAGTATGAATTTCATAAGCTTTAAATGGGGTAAACTTAATTTATAGTGTAGAAATGAAAAAATGCAGTATTCAAAGTTGGAAAGGGACATAACTCCAGTATGGTAGCCGGTTGGTGATTCACTGCCAAATAAATTCTGTCTGTATTTGATTCTTAGCATTATGACTATGAGTTTTATAAAATTTGGATGAGAAAAACATATGGTAGAGTGCAGAAATGAATATGGGACAGACAGAAGGACAGTAATTGGTAACACTTAATGCCCCCTTTGCCTAGCATGCCTAGTGGCGGGGACATACAAACTGGGATTAAATGAAATTGGGTGAATCTTATCATATTTTCATGAGCACCATACTTTTGATTTTCACAATGACTTGTATCAAAAGAATAATTGTCACAAATGTTTCAAATAATTACAATTGATGTGACGTTTACTATTTTTTGTATGGGGTTCTTTTTGTATTTTTGGGAGTCTTGGGGAAAATCAACAATGACAATGTATAGCCTTTTTTGTCGAATTATCATGATGCAACTTAAGTCCAAATTTAAGCGTTTTTTCTAGTTCATGTAATTTAGTCTTCACGGAAATCTTGTTGACCTACAATCTCGAAAATTAGCTTTTCTTTAAATTTTCTTGCACAGTTTTAGTGGTATTTTACTGGCCCGAAAGAATTTTCACTGGCCTGGACCGTTTGGCTTGTGGCAAACTTTGAAGATTGAAATACGAAACTTAGATGAATATAATATCAACAATTTTCAGTGGAAATAATCTTCAGTATGAGTACCAAAACAATTTGACTAGCATGTTCCAATTCTTGAGTGATTTTTTCCGCCATGCTGAAACGGAAACGGAAGTAACAAAATAATATTTATCAGACGGTCTAAGATGGGATAAATTCCGGATAATATGATTTTCACTGTAATGCACTCAAATTTACATAAGTTGAAACTGACCATTTACTCTTTAAAATGTTCGAGGAATCAAGGCCGGATAAAAACAAAGGAAAAGGCACAATTTGATTTAAAGGTGAAAAGATTTAATTTCACTTTGAATGTAAAATATAATTTACATTTATTTCAAAGGTGAATACTAGTATAGCTTATGCTTTTGCTTTCTTGGACAAAACCCACAGGAAAATCTTCACTATTTTATTTTGAGGGTTTTTTCTGTGTCATAGGGTTGTTGTTTCATTAAAAATTAAATCTTCTCATATCTTTTTTTTAAATCGTGTAATGTATGAACAACATTTTATTTTATTTGCAATATATATATTGCAAATAAAATATATATAAAATATTTATATATTGTATCTATGATATCATGATGAATTATTTTGATTGATTTTTAAAAGTTGAAACTGACAAGGTTAAAATTCCAAGGGTTTTTATAGTAAGATTAAGACGAAAAATTCTATAATCCTAAATTAAAAATCCTTGATTCGCAAAAGATTTGGGGGATATTCCACACTCCGGCACCGGAGTCTTTCCCGTACCAGGAAGAAAAAGAAGATATGTAATTACACAATTCCTTGATTTATCATATATATTTGCAGGAAACTACAATTTTTTTTTCAAATTTATGGGTTCAATCTATTTTTCACTTGGTGATTCTGTTTATTATCAAATGAAAATGTCATTCAAGTTTTTTTCTATTCAGATTTTACAACAAAACATGCTGTGGTCATTTTATTCATAATTGGTTGCTTTCGGGTGTTATTTTTTTCATATTATGTATGGTAGTGCTTATCATGTATAGCCGCTATGTTTTAGAACTGTAAGTACAACGCTTCATGAAGAAAGAGCAGCAATTAACAAAAAATAACTTAAAAAATGTAGGCCATGGTAGACGTGATGTCTCAGCGTTGATTGATAAAAATTTTGTGGAGTTAAATGTGATCACTGTTGATACTTGACTTGCAATGCAATCATGTCAAAGGTAATAGGGTGGGTACAAAACAGCTGGCAGGAAGTGGACGGCACTCGAGTCAACAACAATTGAGCGGTCAGAGTGTATGCTGAAGAATCGGCACCGAAATAAGCGTGACAAAAATGCCCTCGTAGTTAGAAAAAAAATATAGGAAAACAGTTGAAGAAAGATACACTATAGGCAAATTAAAACGACTACAAAACTGTAACTTGAACAGAAAACTAAATATCAAGCAACCAAATCCGGTATAAACAGTGGTACTTAGCTAGGGTTAGAAGTTTCTGCTTCACGAATGGCACCAATCATCGTTGTTCTGAAAAGTAAAAATCCAATTAATGAAAAGTATCATTTGGGGATAGTTATAAACGTGGGAAAGACCATATGATTGCAACTAAGACGTTCGACCAAATCATGATGGTGCATGTTCTTAAAACTTTCGAATAGAGAAAAGAGGTTAGAACCAACACATTTCAACAGCTGGCGGTGAGTCATCTATAAAAAGACTAAAGGATGGCCCAGACACTGAAGAATATCAAACAAGAGCATCGTCTAACGATGAAAAATCTCTTCAGATTATTCTTCCTAATGAAGTCACGGGATAATACCTTTTCAGTCACTCATCGAATCTGCAGAACCTCACATATATATTGTTGGAGAAATAAAGGAGAAATGGGTGAATTGGTGTTAAACATCTAGAGGAAAATATTACTTGCATATCAAAATGAGAGCGTGTTATGTGGTATGAACATGAACACTGCTGTGTACTAGACCGACGCGAGATGATTATAAACACTATTGCACTTTTTCTTTTCTCTTCAAATAACCACAAAGAACTAATTACATGGAAACTGTCTTTGTGGTAGAGAACCTAGACAGCTGAGCATGTTGCCATTACTGAGATGAAAAGAAAAGGGAAAAAACTATTACCAAGTGAGAGAAGAAAAAACATTAATATAAAAATGAGGAGATGTGGTATGATTGTCAAACAATGAGAAAACTATCAACCAGCGAATATACATAATTATTCTAAATATCAGAACAACAATGTTAAATCTGCAAATTTGCGGAAGCAAATTTTTGTTCTTCCCTCGCCGGGATTCGAACTCATGCTATTGGTATATCGAGACAACACCGCCTGCACTGTATCCAGCGCTCTAAACCACTCAGCCACCTACACTGAACTAATAATATAGCTCTCGGTGGCCTAGTGTTACCTTTCCTCGTTAGTAGAATCTAGAGTTGTAACATAGTACATGATATATTAAGCATGAAGATGGAATTGATTGCAGATTAGCTAAATATCTATCGTAAAGGATCGTAAGATAAGTCACAGAAACAATTATTTTGAGAAGTGCGTCTAAACAAGTGACAACTCTACGACAGATCCATCTATTGGATCACCAGTGAAGATAATACACGGCTGAAAAACGTATTATATTCATAATTACTCTAAATATCAGCACAACAATGTTAAATATATATTTATATATATATATGTAGTTGTAGTATATGTATCGTACGGCCTTCAACAATGAGCAAAACCTATATCATATGGTAAGCTACAAAAGACCCCGGCATGACAAAATGTGATACAATTGAAAAGAGAAGACCAACTGCCTGGTTTATGACAAAGCAATAAACGAGAAACAAATACCGTATAGCAGACAATAACCACCAACAACCACTGAAATATGTTTTAAAAGAAGATCAAACAGCATTATGAGATTGCGACACAAAAATCCAGCACTTATGAGGTGAGATTCAATCTGAATGAATGAAAAATCCTTGTGTGTTTTCGACAGTGTATGTAGGATGATGTTGATGGGGGTTTACAGAATAATGAATAATGGACAAAAAATATGAAGAAAAAAGAAAAATGGACTCCCCAAAAAAAAAGAAAAAAGAGAATAATGAGGTGCTAAAATATAAAGAATAGAGAATAATGAGCAAAAAGTATAAAGAATAGAGAAAAATTTTCTAAAAATATAAAGAATACAGAAACGAAGGACCCCATCCAGACCCTCATGTAGCGAATACGATGTGACATAGTACCTTTGTCAGGGTGCAAATTAGATTGAGTACAAGAGTCAAACACAAAGGGTAGTACTGTAATGACCCACAAAGAAAGAAAGAGCATAATGAACGATAAATTTATGTTATGATGTAGACAGAAAGGTTCAAAGACCCCTTTTCAGTACACTGAGACGTGTTGGTGGATGGTTTCCTGTCAAGTCAAAATGGAATCTTCTACAAGATCGTTAACTAGTTAGAAAACAACGGTTCTAAAAGGAAAATAGCACAGAAAACATCTTGTTAGTTGTTTTACATCTGGTTAGATCTGTATTGAAATTATGCGTATTCTACCGATACTTGAAATTTGGTACTGGTAGCAGATTGGTTTCCACTGGTGACTAGGCCGCGGAAGTGTCATCTGTAAGGGGCGAAACATAAGACAAAGGCTATATAAAAAAAGACAGGTTGAGTTCTCACAAAGCTGGAACGCGCACTGGACTATATAATTACTTAAGAATAAAGATAAGCTGGTAGTTGTTGACATCTCAAACGATTTCTTAAGCACAAGTCAAAACGTTTTGGAATTGCAGGAGAAAGTGAACGAAAGGGTTTTTCACACTAAAGTACATGTGTCATTTTAAGTTTTCGTTTTAAATTACTCATCGTTATTCATGTGCACACAACTATATTAACATTACTAAACTACAACTCCAAAATCCACCCACTCTAGCTTCCCCTTGATGACCAACGCTGAAAACGCCCAAACTTTTACGTAAACACATATGACCAATATGTGCACTCTAGTCACAAATATATCTCATCAAAATAGGACCTACATGAAATTGACACCTACATCACATCAGATGTGCAGTCAATCATAAAGGTTAAGCTAATCATTAATTTTGAATGCTGCATCTACAGGAATATCTGATAAATTCACTATAAATAGTCGATTATACTATATATGAGGGTCTGAATGGGCTAAATAGATTTGAAAATAATGGGAAAAAAAACTAAAGAGTAGTGAGGGGGGATAAAGTGTGGAGAATATTGGGTGCTCAAATATAAAGAAAAGAGAAAAATGTGCAAAAAATGAATAGAGAAAAAAAGTTTGAAAAATAAAGAATAAAAAAAATAAAGACCCCCTCCTCCCTCCCCCCATAAAAAAATCAGACCCTCGTATATAGATTTATATGGAGCTATATTGCTTTAGACATTTTATCAACAGGTGATTCCTCATAATTTGCGATTTTCATTTTTAAATGCAAATCTCGTCTTTTAATGTTCTGTTAAACATATGAAAAGTATGAAAGGAAATTAACTTCTTTTGTAATGTCTGATAGGCCTGCAATCTATTTCAGATCTTCATTGGCGTGCTTAATATACTTTCATACTTCAACTTTGGTTAAAGATACTTTAAAACATAGTCTCAGTGAGTTATTCAATCAAATCAAATTAAAATTTGATTCTCGACTATTATTTGAAGCGCAATAAAACAGTCGTTGAGTCGTTATCGCATATTTGACAACTTTTATGTATATAAAAACATATTCTTTCAGTTCATTTATACGTAATTGTCCATAAACTTCAACAAGATGTACGACCACCCATATGCCGATATTCATTTCATTTCAGATTTACACTTTTGTATGTGAGTTTTTTCACATTGTGCACTGAACTAGATTAAATATATTCTTTTAAAGTTCTAAACAAATAATAAATAAAATTGAAAAAAACATGAAATCGAAAAGAGGTCCATTGCATTCTCTATATCTGTCTACTAGTATCATGTTTTTAAAACGGTATGTCATTGTTTCAGTATACTATAACATATTGTTCTATTTGTAAATTTTATTTTATCAAGCGGTGATTTGTAGAATGCTGCATGTCCGTCTC